AATTCAATCCTTTTTTTTTGTTCAGCAACATAATCAAACTTTGGTCAATAAACTAAGTGTTCCCACTGTTGTAATTTAGTGTTAATCAGCATCATTATCGTCAAGAATACAACAAAAAAAAGGTCAACGATTAAGGTCTAACATGACATTATATATACACCCTATATCTTTACCCTGCAATATAATAATCAGAATCTACATGAGATGATTAGAAACTAATTTAAGAGTAACATATATTATATGGAAGGAGATGAGAAACAGGAAAAATAAGTCAATCATTTTGCTAATAGATTTCCCAACTTTCTATTACTATTACAAATAAGTTGCCACTTCATTTGGATGGTTAATGTCTTAATGTTTAACAAAATCTTAAATATATATGATAGTTTTTTTGTATTCCAAGAAAAAAATGAAAGGAAAACATAGTTGAGAAAAGGAGAGACTTAGAAATCAATTAGATGTGGTTGAGAAAGTTGTTAATGATGAAAAGTAACCAACACTCCAATTAGACTTCATCAGAAATGGTGCTTTTTTTGCTACATACAACAGAAAGTTAATTCTTCGCGCATTGATGATTAAAATTTGATTGAGATTTGAAAGATGAACAACAACGATTTTAGAGCGATAATCGTAAGTGTGAAGGATACAAGAAAAAAAGAGAATCAAATTTTCAAGAGAAAAGGTGAAAAAAAATAAGGTTCAGATCAGAATTATCATCATCTCGATGATGATGTTGATGATGAAAAGTTAACACTAAACTTCTAGAACGTAGGTTTAAGTTTATTCAAAAGATTCTGAGACGATGATGATTATCAACATTTCTTAGACTTAAGTTTTAACCACAGGATGTTCAGTGACATTAATTGGTTGTAAATTAAGATTATTACTTTTCCTCACTCATCCCTGATAATAATAATCATGATGATAATAATGGGACAACAATAAAGTACAGTCAGAAAAGAGTGGGAAAGAGGGAGGAAGATGATGGTGAGGGAGAGAGTTGGAAATGATGAAGATGATCAAGTTGATGAAGAAGAAGATGAAGATGATGATGATGATGAAGATGAGGGGCTACAAGTGTTTACGATGCTGAACAGAGCCTAAATAAGGAGAGGATAATAATCATAATCATAATAATAACAATGATCATCATGATCATGATCATGATGATAAGGGAGATTCTAATGTGAGCTATTAAAATAGTGAGTAAATGTGTATATGTGTGAGTGAGAGAGAGAGAGAGAGAAAGAGTTGAATATAAAATACTAATATAATAATAAGAGGAGGGAGTTAATAGTAAAAACATTTTGACAGAATTTATTGTAGACATAATACTGAGAATCTATTGGTATTTTATGCAATTTCATGTTAGGAATTAACGAGAGAATTGCAAAACAGTTTTTTCTTTTATTCTCATCAGCAGCATCTTCATCTCTCTCTCTCTCTCTCTCTCTCTCTCTCTCTCTCTCTCTCTCTCTCTCTCTCTCTCTTTTATCTCTTCAATGAAGATGAGTATTTGATGAAAGAACGGTTGTTTCAGATGAAGAGGAGAAAGAAGAAGAAGAAAAATGATCATGATGAAAAGTTCTGAACAAAGTTGAGGAATCAACATGTTGTGGTTATAATCACCATCAGCATTCCTATTGTTTTAGATGAATAAAAAAACAACAGTAATTTTATCATCATTATATATATTATCTAATAAGCATTGGTAACAATAATGATCATCATCATTTTCATCAGGATGATTATAATAATAGTAAATATATTGTACAACTTTGTTCATCTTTCATCTTCCTACTTCGCCTCGATTCCTACTAATTCAACATTTTTCACCATAAAATATTTCACATTTCATGAATAACTTTGCAATAAAAACATGAATTACATGAAATATATATTTATATGTATGATATATGTGATATGTTTTATATGTTTATGTGTTTTCCTTTTGTTTTAAACCCTCGATATCAAAGTTGAATAATAATTTTCTATCATTGAAAATGAGATGATTGGGATGGGTGATGATGGTGGTTGAGAGAGAGAGAGAGAGAGAGAGAGAGAGAGAGAGAGAGAGAGAGAGAGAGAGAGAGAGAGAGAGCTCAATTATTTCCAAGTTGAATGCTTATCATATTAGATATTATAATAAATAGTAATAATTCAATATAATGTAATAAAGGAAAAGAAGTTGGAAAATGTTTGAATGAGAAAAAGAGAGAGAGAGAGAAAAGAAAGAGAAGATATTACAACTCTACAACAGGGAATCTCTATCCCAAGCCTATATTTTATCAAATTGCTATCGAGTCGAGTCAACTCGAGGGGTGGGTTCTATTTATAGGGAAACGGAAACACAGACAGGAAATACAAGACAGACAGACAGGGTGGAAGAGAGAGAGAGTGAGAAATATAAACAACAAGAAAGAGTTAAGAGGAAAAGATGATGATGATGATGATAAACAATAATAATATCGAGACAAGGTGATGAAAAATTATTATTATCAAGTTTATATTTGATAATATCGTTAGATTATTGTTGGTTAATTAAACATAAACAATTGTAATATTAGTTAGTTAATTAGGATAAACGGTTGTTGTGTTGATGTTTTATCAAGCGAGAGTAATTGATTACAATCAAATTTGATGATTGTGAGTCTTGAGATTGTCGGTGGTCAAGTTTAATTTGTTAACTACAATATTAATTAGATAATCAAGGAAGAAGAAAAAAGAAATTAAAAACTATCACATGTTATAACAATTTCCATAGGAAATTATCATGATGATAAACAGAGAAAAAGTGAAATGTTGTTATTTGTTTTTCTCAATATTTGATCAATATTAATTTAAAGTTTGAAGGTTGATTCAGTTTAAATTGTTAACAATGAATATTGACCCTTACAATCAATAAATTTTTCTACTAGACTTTAATATCTTTATATTGTCCAGGGGAAAATATTAACAAGTAATAACAACATTAATCAATCAGATTGGATCAAAGTAGAAGAAAAAAAAAATACTAAACTATCAAGACACAGAAAAAGAAACTGATTAACTTAAAAGCCAATGAAAAGTATAAGTGATTTAGATGATGAGACAGAGAGTGAGAGAGAAGAGAGAGAGAGAGAGAGAGAGAGAGAGAGAGAAATATCAACATCGATATCATCATGATCATCATGGAGAAACTTTTCCATCCTTAGTTTTTTATAACTAACTCATCTTCATCTTCATCTTCATCTTAACAATTTTATATTAGATTTTTTTTCTTGGTGTTTTATTTACATAAAAAAACTTGCTTATCCCCTGGGGTAACCCTAATATAATGATATTAATAGATAAAACAAATAGTAGTCGCTGATGATGATGATGACCTTGCTGATTTAATCAATTTGATTTTACAATTTCTTAACTCGATTAGCTTGGACTGAGAGAGAGAGAGAGCAGAGAGAATACACTTTTTACCTTTTTTCCTTTACTATTAAATCAAATTTACCCCATTCTGTGCAAGGGTAACCAGTATTTAACGCAACAGTTAAAACACATGACCCAACACTTGATAAGGTAAGATGAGAGATGATAATAAAGAAAATCATAGTTACTTTCATCATGATTTATACACAGTTAATAACGTATATTCAGTTGAACGTTTCACTATCTCTCTGTGTGTTTAAATACGTTAATTGTTGGTTTAACCCTTTTCTCTCTCTCTCTCTCTCTCTCTCTCTACCAAGGTGAATCTTAAGCCATTTCTTTACTATCTCGTAAGAAAATATTATATATGAGATATACATAAATCCTCCTTCGGCAACGCCTTCGGATTAAATCTCGTAAAAAAAGCAACTTGATGAATTGTTTAAATAATACTTACATAAATGTATATACTTATTTAATAATAGTTTCTAATACTTTTTTTTTGCTAGTTAGTTAGTTGGTTGATTGTTGTAGTTATAAAATCAAAAAGTGGAAAAATGATAAAACTATTGGTTAACTTTAATTTGCAATAGTAAACTAGATAACGATGGTGATGATGATGATGATGAGCATCATCATCGAGTCTGATTTAAATTGCAAAGTACAAAATGATAAGCAAAGAAAAAAGAAGAAGAAAAAAAATCGTAAAGTAAATCAGTCAATCATGTAATAGATTTTATTTCATTCAATTGATTCTATTATCGAGATGCTTGTTGCTTCTCTTATATTATCGACAAGAGAGAAAGAGAGCAAGAAAAAGTTATGCGATTAACGTTAATTACTAGTAGACATTAAAGGGATAGAAGAATCAAAGTTAATCCTGGAAACAATTTAGAAACAAAATATAATTGCTGTTAATCATCTTCATTGAGTGATGATCAATTGTTGATCAATTTACTAGTAATGCCATCCGTTAATAGGAAAAAGAGTTACTTTTCTCATTCCAAGCTAATAGATCATTAACTTTACATGAGGTCTCTGACTCTTTACTTTTTTCTTCTTCTTTTTTGCCTTTTCTGCTGAAGTGGTTTCATGATTTTTAATAACTATTGGTAGCAATCGATAGCTATGAGATAATTTACAACAATCAGCAACACACAGCACAGAGTGAAGATTCAATTTGTTAACTCGTATGTCTGAATGTAAGTCAGTCAAGTAACGGCATCGACTGGGGGATAAGACAAGTTTCAACAGTCGGCCTGCGGCCTGAGAACTGAAAAGCATGGAAAAGATTTTCAGTTTACCTTAATTAAGTTAAAAAGTTAGCAAGAAGTTAATACATATAAGAGATTTAACTGTAGGGTTTTTAACCTCAGGTTAACTTTGGTCAAAGAAAAAAGAGAAGAAGACGAACTGAAAGACGATTAAATTGGATAAGAGAGAGAGAGAGAGAGAGAGAGAGAGAGAGAGAGAGAGAGAGAGAGAGAGAGAGAGAGAGAGAGACTGATAGAAGATGGAGAGAAAATAAGTTGAAAAAAGAAAAGAATAAAATAAAATGGAAAAGTGGAAAATGTAAATTGTTCAGTTCAACTAACCACGTTTGACTTTTTTTCCTCGTAATGTTTTCCCTTTGTCGATGAGCTTACAGTTAACACAATTACAGAAACGCCGTTTACATTGATCCTTGTGGTTTTTAACTGGAAAATATTGACCGTGGATTTTGCATTTTGCACAAAAAGGGATTGTCTTTTTGTCGGGATCTCTGAATTGAGTTCTGTCTGTCGCCGAAGATGGTGAAGTTGAGTATTGGGATAAGCCACCGATTCCATTGAAATCACTGTCTCCTTCACCATCACCATCACCGTCAATACTGTAATTATCTACTTCTACATTTAGTTGCACTACAGTTTCATCACTATTACATTCAGTGTTTGTTATATTTGTTATACCATCATTTGTGTTGTTATTTATACTATTTTTTATGTTGCTCCTGTTGCTGTTGATGTTGTTGTTGTTGTTGTTGATGTTTGTTGAGATGGTTGTTGCACTAGCTGAAATATGATCAAGTTTGGGTGCGAGTATAAAGTCAATTGTAAAATTCTTCTTAATCATTGAGATTTGATTAGTGTTGATGTTACCTTGGCTTTAAGGTTTTTCTTTCTCCTTCTTGCTCTTCTTCTTCTTCTTCTTCTTCTTCTTCTGGAAGCGTTACCACCAACCAATTAACACCAGAGAAAAACATACAGAAACACTTGTTAGATTGCTGCTCATGGAAACAAAACACTTTCAATTATAAATATACATAGAAAATTAATTATTCTAAATAAAATAAACTAATTAAATAACAAAAAAATTCTAAATTCACAGAGAAAGAAAAAAAATTAACTTCTAACGATAAACGAGAAAAACGAACGTTCTTGGTGAGGTCCTACCATTAGAAGAGATGAAAGAGAAAAGAGAAAAGAGAAAAGAGTCAACGAGACAAATGGAAAAGTTAAGCGAATATCGAATATCAGCCACCTGGGATTCGAGTCCTTTCGAAAAGATCCTACCCGGTAAGAGAATTTTCTCCTCATTTCGAATGGATTGTTTTTCTTCCAAACCATTAAACTGGCTCATTAATTGGATTGAGTTCTAATTAGAAGGAGAACAATTAATTGCGAGGAAATTGTCTCATTAATAGGTAACGAAAATATTTTTTCTTTTCTCTCGGTTATTATGATTATTTTTCGAATCCGCAGTTTGGTTGTGAAGCGAAAATTTTTCTGTCTTTCGGTTTGGTTTGTTTTTCTATCAACAGGTGGCAGTTGCTTTTGGAATTAAACTTTGAATGTTTTGTTTTGTTTTCGGTTTGAATTTCCGTTGGTCATTTGGTCTCATTGATTAAATTGTTCTTTCATCTTTTAATTAACTTATCATCTTTTGGTTTGATTTTTAATTTCTTTAATCAACCACCTGTTCGACACTTTTACCATCTTCACTCTAACATATTCTTTATTGGAATCATAATGGCTACGCAAAAATTATCCATTGACTCTGATGATCGGGTATGTTTACTTTTCTATTATTTTAATGGAGTTTTTTTCCTTTGTTATTTTTAATCATTTTCCAAAGTGTCATGGTAGACATTTAATTGATTCGAAAGGTTTACATGCTCTACAGTCTTGTTACTATGGTAAAAGAATCAAGAGTTAATCTTGTTTGGGTGTTGATTGTTTTCTTTTCTTTTTCTCTTTTTCTCAATTTCATTCTAATGTTTTTCAGTTTTTTCTTTTCTCCCAACAGAAGGATTGCAAAGTTATTATTCTTCATGCCAAAGTCGCTCAGAAATCCTATGGAACTGAAAAAAGATTCTTCTGTCCACCACCTTGTATCTACCTGTATGGTGAAGGATGGCAAGAAAGAAAAGAAAGAATGAGAAAAGAAGGTTGTTCAGAAGATGGAACTCAGGTCTACGCTTTCATCGGCATCGGAAGTTCCGACCAAGACATGCAACAGTTACATTTCAACGGAGAAGTAAATTCTTTTCTTTTCTTCCTTCATCTAATTAGCTTACTGATTAATCACTTAGATTATGTTCTTTTTGGCTCACAATATCTAACAGTTTATTCAGTCGATTACTTTAACTCTTGGCTGTTCTTATTTCTTTTCTACTGTTTGTCACTTTTGTCTTATTATTCTGCAAACATGATTCTAATTTTCTCTCTCCCTCTCTTTCTCTCTTTTATTACATTTTCTCTTCTCTTTGTAAATATTTTTAAAGAATTTCTGTATGGCTAAAACATTGTACATTAGTGATTCTGACAAAAGGAAACATTTCATGTTGTCAGTGAAAATGTTCTATGCCAATAGTGATGAAATTGGAACATTTAACTCGCGAAGAATCAAAGTGATATCAAAACCATCCAAAAAGAAACAATCTCTCAAAAATGCAGATTGTAAGTTGTAACATATTATCATTTTTCTCTCCGTAATTATTGTTTCTATTTTCTATCATTACTAATTATCTTCTCCTCTTTTCTACAGTATGTATTGCCTCAGGAACGAAAGTTGCTCTTTTCAATCGTCTCAGATCCCAGACAGTTAGTACGAAGTATCTACATGTTGAGAATCAAAATTTCCATGCAAGTTCACTCCAGTGGTCAGCGTTCACCATTCACCTTCGTAAGTATTCAGGCCAAATCAGCTACTTTTGCCGAAGTTATTTCAATTTTCTCGGTGAACACATTTAAACACCTCACAACTATTTAAATCCATTCATTTTAATTGAGTAATCGTCTTTGTTTACAATCAACGTTTTTCCCACAGTCGACGATATGGAAGAGGAATCGGAAGAGTTCACAGTTCAAGAAGGTTACATTCACTATGGAGCGACTGTTAAGCTCGTTTGCGCTGATACTGGAATGGCACTGCCACGATTGGTAAATAGTGATTCACCCAACTGTTTAACATTTCGAACTAATTTTTTTTTTCGAACTTTTTTTTTCTTCTTTCAGATTATTCGCAAAGTAGACAAACAAGATGCTCTGCTGGATGCTGATGATCCCGTTTCTCAATTACATAAATGTGCTTTCTACTTGAAAGATACTGAAAGAATGTACTTATGTCTTAGTACCGATAAGATTATCCAATTTCAGGCCACTTCGTGTCCAAACGCCCCAAATAAGGAAGTTTTGACCGACGGGGCTTCATGGACAATCATTAGCACCGACAAAGCGGAATATACATTTTACGAAGGTCGAGGTCTCATCAAAAGCGGAGTAACTCCAGTTCCAATTGTTCATAGTCTAAGTTTAAATGGTGGAGGTGATGTTGCCATGTTGGAATTGATTGGTGAAAATTTCAGTGAGTCATTAAAAGTACACTTTGGTGAAGTTGAAACAGAAACATTTTACAGGTAAAGTTTAAATTGTTAAACAATCATCGAAAAAATTTGCATAAATTGTTGATTTTTTTTTCTCATTCTCAATTCATTTACATATAATTTACCATTGAGAATTATTCTATTTACATTTGTTTCTTTCTCTTATTTTATTAGATGCCAAGAAAGTTTACTCTGTGTGATCCCACAAATTTCCGAAGTTCGAGAAGGTTGGGAATGGGTTCGGCAGCCGACAACCGTTTCCATTTCATTGGTTCGTCCTGATGGTCTCATCTATTCAACAGGTTTGACCTTCACTTATACACCAGAACCAGGACCTCGACCTCATTGTCCCGAAGTTGATAAAATAGTTCGACCTGATCGAGCTGATCCATCTAACGCTAAATACCATCATCGACACCACAACAACAACAACGACAATCAATATACGGGTCAAATTTTCGGTACATGGACTGATTGTGGTGATATACGAGTTCGACTTCGTCATCCAAACGATCAACCTCTTTGACCTGACTCACAATTTATGTGAAATCCTAAACTTGATACATCTCTTAATTTATTATTGGATGAATATATTTTTTTTCAATTCAATTAAGTCAATCTATACAAACAATAATCTACATATTTAAACAAATAAGACCCTCACAATCAACACGCACATAAAACTATTTAGTCAATCAACATGTCGCACAAACACAAAGAAACAAAATTAACTATAAATTGTAAATAACCAACATTTAATTTATGTAAATATTATATTTTATTAATTGTATCATTTGTTACAAATACAGATTTGATATAAATTTATAATTAACTTAAAGCAAATTTTGCTTGTGAACAAGTGAGTTCAATGAAATTGATGAAGTTAATTAGTTGATTGATCGAGCCAATTAAATCAACCAACAGGTGGTTAAGTAAATTATACATTTTACGAAGGTCGAGGTCTCATCACAAGCGGAGTGACTCCAGTCCCAATCGGTCGCAGTCTTGGGCATCGGCACGGAGACCCAAGTCGACATTGAAACGCTTCTCCCATGATGAGATCTTTGGACAGCCCAAAGATTTAGCGGCTCTGATATATTCTTGGCCGAAAATACGATAGAAACGTTCAGCTTTCTCCTTATCCCAGGTCAGTCCAGACTTGTCCCAGTATTGAAAATCTGATGCCAATTTAGGCCAGTCCATATAAGTGTATACATCGCATCGGGTGAACCAGAGAGCAAATCGAGCAATTTGGTCGTTGCTCCATGAAAAACCCAATTTTTCACGTAATTCTTGCAAATTCATAGAGCGGAGAACTGTTTTATAATAGATATCGATTTCATTGCGAGCAAATTCGGACATGATTTAAGGAACAATTAGTCTTCTCAACTATAAATACTGTTTACAAATGAAAATGGAGATGTCTCTTTTCATTTTCTGACGAGTGTCCATCTAGTGGTCAGGACAAATTCAATCGCTTTTAGCTCTGTTTTTCAAAGGAAAATGTGATTAGCAATCAGCTTTGTTCACAATCAACTCGTTTGCGCTGACACTGGAATGGCACTGCCACGATTAGTAAATTGTGATTCACCCAACTTTTAACATTTCGAAGTAATGTTTTTTTTCGAACTTTTTTATTCTTCTTTAAGGTTATTCGAAAATTAGACAAACAAGATGCATAAATTGTTACGTTTTTTACTTTTAATTTCAATGAAACAATAGTAAGATTCAATTGTAATCACCATTGATACAGATGATTAAACGAAATAATTAGGTTAACACATTTTGTTTCAATATTGGTTTACATTTAATTGAATTGTTTTCGTTTTTCTAAAGTCCCAATAAAATGAATTAAAAATTCAACAAAAATAGAGGCCAAGTGATTAAGTTAATTGTCATCAGTGTTAAAATGTTATCTATATAATATAATGAATTTATAACTTGAGTGACTTGTTCCTCATCTTTGGCTAATCAAAAAAAAAGAGAAGAAATTAATTGTGAATTCAATGAGAATCAGTAGGAAGAACAATCAAATGAAAAGATAATTAAAAAAACAAAATTCCCATGAAAGTTCAATCCAATGATCAGCTCTCACCAATATTTTGAAATATCATATTTGTTTGAAAAGGAAGGTCAGTTTATCGTGAGAGTGAAAAACGGTACATCGGTTAGTAACGAGCCTTAATCCATGAACGAGGGACAAAACCTTCACGGGAATTCAAGTCGACATTGAAACGCTTCTCCCATGACAAGATCTTTGGACAGCCCAAAAATTTAGCGGCTTTGATATGGCCGAAAATACAATAGAAACGTTCAGCTTTCTCCTTATCCCAAGTCTGTCCAGACGTTTCCCAATATTGAAGATCTTTGGTAACTTTAGGCCAGTCCATGGGGTAGGAATCAGGCCGTCTGAACATGAGAACAGTTTCACGAACTTGGGTGTCGTTGTATTCAAGGCCCATTTTTTCACGCAGTTCATTGAAATCCATAGAGACATAAACTGTTCCGAATCAATATGGTCCACGGTCATAGCAACTAGTAATTTGATACATGATTTCAGGAACAATTAGACTTTTCAACATGGATACTGTTTACAAAACGGAAGTGACTATTTTGGAATTAGTATTTTCATCAGCTGACTAGTGTCCAACGGGCACTGTCCATCTAATGGAGCAGAAAACCCGACCTTAAGCTCTGTTTTCAAAGGAAACGAGAGAAAATTGGAAAAAATTTTGTATAAATTGTTGAGTTTTGTTTTACTTTTACTTTTAATTTCAATGAAACAATTGTAAGATTTAATTGTAATCACCATTGATACATGATGATTAAAATGAGATAATCATGTTAACAGGTTTTGTTTCAATATTGGTTTACATTTAATTGAATTATTTTCGTTTTTCCTGAAATCACAATAAAATAAATTAAAAATTTAGTAAAAATAGAGACCAAGTGATTAAGTTAATTGTCATCAGTGTTAATATGGTATCTATGTAATATGATGAAGGATATAGAATCCATTTTCCAAAATGATTGAATGGAATTGGTTTCACAATCGAGAATGGATCATCTTCACCAAGTTAATTGTCGTCAGTTGATTACGATTAAAAATAGAGAGATAATAATCTATGAGATTCTTTGATAAAGTTGATGAGTATGGTGATCAAGTTAATTATCTTTGGTCTTTTTTTTCACACTGAGAATACTTGAGATGTAACAAAGGTGAGAGAGAGAAAACAAATGATGATGATGGTGAAGATGATTAGTGATTCTAATTGGAAAGAGGAAAATCTGGTCCGAATTACGATTACTATTGATTGTAGTTGGTTGATTATATTCTAAGAATCTTAATTTACAGGAGTTTTTTTTTCGCTTCTCTATGGTGCTAATTACACATCATCTTGATGGCACAATTGTTCAGTCACTTCTTCCAATGTGAAAGTTTGTTGATCTTCCTCCTCTTTATCCTGCATCTCATAGGATTGAATTAATTGTTTCAATTGTTCATTTTCCATCTCTAATTTAGTTTTCTCTTCTCTTTCAGCATTTAACTGTAATTCTAGGTCACGTTGGATTGCCTCAGATTTTCTGGTCTCCTCTTGTAACCTCATCTCTTTATCGGTCATTTCAGCTGACCAAGTGCGAACCACTTCCTCCAGTTCAGCTTTTAATCTAAGATTTTCCGTCTGAAGGGAATCACTTTCCGTTGATGAGATTAAATTGTTAACCAATTCTTCAATCTTCTTCTGTGATTCACTAATCTCTTTAACAGCTGATTGAAGGGATGAAGATGTTGAAGCTTTTGCTATACTTGTACTCGCTTCTAATTGTGGATTGATTGATTGTTGTTGTAATTGAGCTTCTTCACCAGAGGTTTCGATGTAACTACTTCCCGAACTGTTGAAAGAATATTCTCCAAAAGGTTCTCCTGTGCTGACTATTACTTGAGTGACTTGTTCCTCATCTTGGGCTATTTGCTAATCAACAAAGAAGAGAAGAAAATGATTATCAATCAGTTAAGAAGAACAATCAAATTTTAAGAGAATAGAATAAAAAAGAAAAAAGAAAACAAAAACATCCATAGTAATAATAATGGATCTTGACAATGAGAGAAGTTGCTCTCTTTTTTGTTTTGCTTCTCTCCATTTTGTTTACCTGGTAATTTGTTGGCGGTGATAAACCCTCCAGGCGAGTTATCTCTTCCTGATTAGTATCATCATGGTTGTGTTTCAAAAAGTGACCCATCACTTTACCATTGTGAGTCGTGATCTTTGCTGGACAAGCGGTTTTCCTACACTTCCAGTAAACCTTTTCATCTCTACACTTGTTCCGTCTGAAGATGAAATCACCAGCAATCAGAGTGTCATTGTTTCGGGAATTCTTGATAAACCGAACCAAAGTCATCGTCTTCTCAACAGAATGGAATTCCTTTCGAATAGAAAATTAAAAGAACAAAAATAACAATTAAAATACAAAAATAGGACTAGAAACAAGAACAACAATCAATTAATTGTGATGGAACAAAAATATTACACATTTTGTATGTTTTCATCTGTAACAGATTTTAGATGCTCCTCTTTTTTTTCCTCTTCTTCAGGAGCGAGAATTTGAATTCTAAAGAGTATCCGGAATGAGAGCACAAAAAGCTAATCATTGAATGGACACAATTGGTAAGAGATAAACAAGACATGATAATTTCGCGACAAAATGACCACTAGATTTTGTTGATTTAATCTGATCAATTTTTTCCATCAATAGAAGACAATTGTCTCTATCATTTCTTGTTTATCTCTTACCGATTGTGTCCATTCAATGATTGGCTTTTTTTGCTCTTATTCCGGACTAGAATCCCTTTAGAATTGAACTCATTTCGTGTTTTCTTTTTTTTTATCGAGTTGATTTTGGTCTTTTCGATGATTTCGCTTTCGATTGATTTGTGATTAATCTTCTAATTCTCTGGTTTAGTCGAGTTTTTGGTGCAATTGAATGTTTGTTAGTTTGAGAGTTTTGGGTAATATGGTCGATCAATTTTTCGAATCCATTTTTTTTTTCTCTTCTCTGATTTGATTTACTAATTTATGTTTGGTTATTGGGATTATCTGTTTGTTGGTGGTTAGGAAAATGATTCTGGGTTTGTGTTGATTGGGAAAACAGAGTAAGTTTATTATGAGAGTAATTGGATTTATCAATTGTTTGTTATTGTTTACAGGTTGTTGTGATTCATTGTGATTATCAATTTGTTGGTTATGTTTTTAAAGAGGTTGGAATTAAGGATTACAACTGATTTTGATGATTGATTATCTGTTGTATGGATTGTTTTGTGATGCTGATTTTATGTTGGTCTTAATTGCACTTGGAGCTTTACCCATGCCAGGGGGACGTGGACCAGTTTGATTTGGACCTTGTGGACCCATCGCAACTCCTGGTGCTGGTCCTGGTTTTGGAACCATAGTTGGAACGGGTTTCAATCCTTTACCTAAGTAAATCGCGGCCAAAATTGTGTTTGTATCCTGTATTGATGATGTAACTGGAATGGAGGTTCTTTGACTTGATTCACTTTCCCAATCTTCTTTGATGTTTTTAATTAGCTCGAGAATGTGATTAGCAATCTTGTTGACACTGGTTATATGTTTTGATCCAGTTTCTGGGTTGATTTGCATGGCTTTTGCAGACAATTTAGCTTCTATCGCTTCGATCTCTGGTTCTAATTTTGTTCTCAGATAATCGGGAACCATTTCATGATTAAAAGCGACCACTCGTCCTTCCGTTAATGTGGCCAAGTCTTCATCTCGATCAGGAGCAAGTAACAGTGGTAAAAGAATACGATTTCGAAGAGGTGGCGTTTTCTCGTTTTTCAATATCTTCATCATGTTGTTTATCTGACCTGAGATGAGAGCAAAATTGTCCAAAAATGCAGGCCAATCAAGCTTTTGATAATCATTTTCCAACCGATACAAGAAAGAGATGAGAGATTTTTTAATCTCTTGACACCTACTGATCAAAGATTCCAAGACAATGTCCAATACTTTCTCCTCTCTTTCCATCATCTTGAATAGAATCTAAATTGTTCCAATCAAATGGTTTAAAAAGTAAAACCAATCAAGAAAACTTAATCAATTGCGACAAAAACAATCACAGAAATAAAAAAAATTACAAATCAAAATTTGAAAAGAAAAACAAAAAACCGAATCCAAGTAAAAGTATCTCAATCCATCATCGAATTTCATCTTAAACTTACCATGAATTCCTCCGTTACCCATGACAGTGATTCCTAACCTTTCATCGGAATACAAACAAACAACAGCTCCAAATTAAATCACTGAGAAAATTGTTCCAAAACAATAAAACTTTAATTGTAAACAATTAAATTCTCGGATCCGATTACTATTTGGATCCAAGAAGAGAAGCGTAAGTGGCACCATCTCTTGTTGGAAAATAGAACTAATTTTCTTTTCTTCACTAAAAATTAAAAGAAGAAAAATTTTCATCTTCACAATTAAGATCCTTTAACTAATTAACTCCAACAATTAGAATAGTAATTATGTTTTCTTTAAGATTATTTTTTTACTTTAATGTCCACGATTACCTAACAATTACTGGATTCGAGTTGACTAATTGTTTTCTCTTTCAATTTTTCGCATCTTATATAATCTTATCAATAACTTGACAAGTGTAATTGTATTAGTTAATTTCATTTGTTGATTAACCTTTTTTGTTTGCACTTGATCAATTTTTTTGTGATTATTTAGTTGGGTCATTTTTTTATTTCTTTGTTACATTCGTTTATTGGATCGATCATGTCAGAATCTGGCCTCGAGACACTTACCTTTCCTCGTCGACGACGAATCAACAGTTTAGCGGTAATTAAGAATCAACTTCTTGAACAATTGAATTATGGTTTGGCTAAATTACGAGGATCACCATTGAATCGCAATAGAGGCTCATCATCACTCGCTGAGGTCGAAGAGTTATTGACCACTCCTGATATGGATTCTCTTGATTTGGGTTTACCCTCTGAGAGTCTTAATCGAACTCTTGCTCGATTTACAATTGATCCCGTTCGTCGTGAACAATTGATCGACAAGGAGATCGAAGTTCTCAAAAACGAGGAAGTTTATCTAACTGGATGTTTAGCCGATATCGACGCACTGGTCACTCAAATGGCAAAGGTCGACGAAGAATTGAAAGAAAAGGAGAAAAGAGAATTGGAAAGTAAAACTGAAGAATTTAATAATTTTCAACAAAATGTAATGGAAAAAATTGGACAATTGACCTCGACCAAGGAGAAGATCGATGAACATTTAGCGATAACAACTCGATTACGAGATTGTTTGAAGCGACAATTAAAGGAAACACGTAAACGTCGTAGTCTCCTCAAGGATAATCTATTTGGTCATGTCAAGGAAATCGACAAATTGAACAGAAAATTGGTGAAAGAGGCCGATCAATACCAAAGAGATGTGGCCTATTTGGAAGAGACATTTAAAAATGTCCGTCTTGGCGATAAAACCTTGCTCGAAGATTACAAGGCCAAGGAGAGATTACTCACTAAAGAATTGGAGGAACGAATGGTAATTCGTAAGTCATTGGAAGAATCTAAATTAGTTGATTTAAGAATTGAAGAGAATGAGCTAATTGGTGAGAAGATTGATCAAAATGGAAGCCTAATCGAAGAGGAAGATCAGGACGAAGAGGAACAAGAAGAAGAGGAAGAGCAAGAGGAAGTCGTTATTGGGGAACAAATCGACGAAATCGAGGAAAACAAGGTAATCGAAAATGAAGAAGAAGAAGAGATTGAAGAGATTGGAGAGGTTCTAGAGACCGTAGAGATCGGAGATATCGGTGAACATGAAGAGGTGGAAGAAAACACTTCGAAAAGTGGTACTGAAAACACCGAAGAAATTGTCGAAAAAAATGAAACGGAAGACCAAATCTCGAAACCAAAGACTGAATCAACTCAAGAATCTGATAGTGAATCTGGTAAAGAATCAGAAAAAGATTCAGACAAAGAATCAGAGAAACAATCAACCGAAAATGAATCATAATTGAACAACAATTTACTAACCATTATCTTAGAACCTTTAATTAGCAAAAACAACAACAATAATTACACTTAATTGCAGGAAACCAAAAAAAAAAGCAAATTACAATTTTAAGTATCCCAAGTAAACTGAAAATCTAATTGTTACAATTTACCTTCTAAACCTTATCAACTAACAATCAATTGTCAATTAACCATTACTCTATGTTAATCTAATTCTGAAATTAAACAACAAATAAATTGAAAAGCTGATTAACCATAATTAACGAGTAACAATTAACCAAATGAAAAGTCACATAAATTAAACGAGAAAAAAAATTACAATTACGAAGGTGAAAAGAGTAAAGGAATTAAAAATCCTTGATGATTAAAAGTAATTCTAATTAAAAGGTGTTCCCCGATGGTCATACGAATCTCCTTGATTGTTAACGATAGTTAAGAAATTGCGAAAAAATCGAGATGATGATTAGAAGCAGAAAGGGAACAATTTAAACCCAATTAAATTCTCGAATTGATTAGTTATCGAGACGAAGGTGAGATTAGTCCTTGTTTTCCAGTTCGTTGTGATTTCATCTTCCATCAATCCAATTCAGGTTTTCCTCATCATCTTCGAATTTAATCATCATCATCATCATCATCAATTCGAATCACAATCCAATGTCAACCCAATTGCGAATTAATTTAATTGAAAAAAGCGCTTCATCCACAAGCGATCAACATATTGAGTCGGAGTAAAAGAATCAACCTTTTCATTTGATTCTTTTCCAAAACCAAGTAAATTTTTTTTTCTCTTTTATTTATGATAATTTCTTTTGATACTCATCTTTATCTTCATCATTTAATTATCTTGCCAACTAAACATCACAATCAACAACAACAATTAGTAAATTGTTCTTTAAATTAACCAAAATGGCTCAATGGAAATGGATCAATTCTCAATCAAAGAGAAGAGAAAATAATCAAATTCTAATCATTACATGAACAGAAAAAGAGAAACTGAGTCACTTTATCTTCTTCTTTCTCTTCATTGTTTTTCTCTCTCATTATTTACTCTTTTCTAGATTAAATCATCTTCACCATCATCATCATCCTCATCATCTTCATCTTCTTCTTCATCATCAACAACAACAACAGTAATTAACTGTGTTTTCTCTCTGTGATTGTTTACGCTTCTCCTCTGGTTCTTTCTCATTCCTTTTCTCTCCCTTGTCTTTTTCCTCTTTCTCTCTCACTGTCTTCTTTCTCTCTCTTCGATCTCTCATTCTCCCCCTTCTCCCTCTCTCTCTCACTGAATTATATCCTTCGTATTAACCTCCTAGTTAATAATCATTATTAGTTCAATACAATTAATTCAAGGTATTTTCAACCTTGTACCTTGATCACCTTAGTTTTGTTTTCTATTCTGTTTTGTTGTACTCCTTTTATTGTCACAATTAGTTGATCATTTTTCTTTTTCTACCATAGAATTTGTTAAATAATTTTCTATTCTCTTTCTCTGTTGATTTCTCTGTAAATTGTGTTCTACCTTCTTGTTGACTTTTTTCTTCTTCTCTAATCAACATCAAATTCTGGTCAACGATTGTTCACAATTTGGGTTTTCTCCCTTATTCCATTTGCCTTTTTTTTCTATCACTTTGTGTACCTCCTTTTATCTCCCTCTCTTTCCACACTTATCATTCTTTTCTCACTCACATTTACCTCTCCATCTCTCTCTCTCTCTTTCTCTCTCACTCCTTTGCCTGTTTTTATATTCACCATTTCTTGATTTTCCCTTGAAATTACTTTCATTCTGTGAGCTACAACCACCTAAACAATTACAATTATCCATTGGCTTCAATTATCTAAGTTCATCATATGTTCAAATTACTAAAGTGAAGGAGAAACAACAATCAGCAACAATCTAATTTGATAAAAACATCATTGAACCCTTTTTACTTTAATCAACCACCACCACCATCATCATCATCATCACCAAGTTGAAACCATCACCGAGAGAGAACAACAATCGATTCGAAAACAAAAACAAAACAAAAACTGGAACTTTGATCTCTTGTTGACCATTGGATGGGAGATCACGATCTCACCGATAAAATGAGAGACATTAACTTAACGGGACACGAAACTGGGACACCGGTCAGATGTGGCTACTATGATGTTGTACAAACCATTGGAAAGGGTAACTTTGCTGTAGTCAAATTGGCAAAACATAGTGTCACCAATAGCAAGGTAATAATATCATTTTCTCATCATCACCACCACCATCATCATCATCATTGTTATCTATCATCTTCTCTCTCAACCTGGATAGTTTTTTCTCTCTCTCTTCCTTTTACTGATACATATTAATACGTATCATGTGTATCTATGTTGTCTATCTTTCTGTTATCTTCACGTTCAATTTTCTTGGATTGATGATTTTCTTTGAGTGTGTTAACTATAACATAACTTATTGTGATACCTTAGCAAACTATTAATGATGATAATTACGATACAACAATCAACTAAAAATCTCATGTATTTAATGAGATTATCAAGCATCAGCAAGAAAAGAAAAGACAAAATGTACAACAACAATTTATCTTTCGATAGCTTTGTGTTCATTTTATGATTCTCTCTCTCTTTCTCTATCATTTACAATTAACTTATTTTCCATGTTAATACCCATTCTCTCTCTCTCTCTTTCTCATATGGTGGCCGGAATCACGGGAAGCCTGAAGTTCAATGTTCTCCCTCTTTCTCACCATGATCATTTTCTTTTATCTTTAACTAATCACAATCATGACGATACTTTGATTGTCTTCCACATGAACACATAGTATCTTCACAATCAGGGCTCAGATAAATTGTTTCTCTAATTAGGTTGATTAATTTTCTTCATTTGTCTTTGCATATACTTTTTTATTATTTCTAAATCACCTTCATTATCCTTTAATGTTAATCATTAGCAGAATTACCCAGGATTCTGTATCTTCATTAACAATCTCGATCTCAACTTCTATCAACAATATTTCTTCCTCTTTGATTGATTATTACAATTCTCTCTCTCTCTCTCTCTCTCTCTCTCTCTCTCTCTCTCTCTCTCTGCTCTTGCTAGAATTGCAAAGTATTTCAGTTCTTTTCTCATCTTTGCCTGATGAATTACCTGTAAATTTCTCAACCCTTTTCATCACCCATCCTAACATTTACTGTTAACATTTCATTGTTTGAATGTTGCTGTTGTTACGTTCAAATTGAAAATCTCATTCAGTATCATGATGATCACAATCTAATAACAACAATACTCTCTCAGGTTTCAGCTAAGTTGATTTTCTCATTGTAATACTTGAAATATTGTCTTGATTGTGAATAGATTTTTTTTTCATTTTATCACAAATCAGTCATTGAAACTAATCTTGAAGAATCATGAAAAGTCTTAATGATGTATCCTGATCCTTTCTATCATCCACATTATTATCATTCTCTTCATCTTTATCTCTATTTCTTTGCCATCATCATCATCATCATCATAGAGATTGAGTAAAAGAATCGACCAGCAATCAACTAATAATAATTTCAGTCTGAGTTAAGCAAAAACCTTCGGAATGTTTTTTCCTTCATCTTCTTTTCTCTAGACTAAATGATCAATAAGAAAGGTTGAAAAAGATGAAGACAAGGAAGAGCGAGAGAGAAACAAGTGAGTGAGAAGATGATATTACTCTCCTTTTTCGCTTTTCCGATCATTTTGGCTCTCTCAATATTTTCTTCTATCTCTCACTAATTAAATCTAACACTTAATCAGATAATATATGAAAACCTGATGATTGTGAATACAAAAGCTCAACAATCATCACAATCAAAGTCTTTCTCTTGAACAATTTCAATCTCTTCCTATTCCTTTTTCCTGTCATCCTCATCATCACTTTTTCGTTATTCATAAGACAATATACTAATCTTAATCTTAATCTTAATCTGCTTTTCTTATTTAGGTTGCCATTAAAATAATCGATAAAACATGTTTAGATGCTTCTAATTTAAAAAAGATTTGGAGAGAAATTGAAATAATGAAACGAATTGGAAAACATGAGAATATCCTTAGATTATATCAAGTTATGCAAACGGATAAATATCTAATGCTGGTCACTGAATATTGTGCCGGAGGCGAAATATTTGACCATTTAGTGGCCAACGGTAGGATGTCCGAACCTCAAGCTCGAGAATATTTCCTTCAAATTGTCAAAGCAATTGAATATCTACATAATAATGGAATCGTTCATAGAGATTTAAAAGCCGAGAATTTATTGTTAACTTATGATTTAAAGACTGTTAAAATAGCAGGTAAATTATCCGGAACAATTAACCCTCTTCCCATATGATGGATACTCATTAACTTTTAGATTTACTCAATTGTTGTTGGTCTATTTTGTTAACTAGACCGTTAACATAATCTGGACAATTTAGTATTCAGTTGACAATCAACAACAACAAAAAATCTCATAGAAATTATTTTATCACTTATCCTTTCTGGTAGTGGTTTTAATTGTTGAGATTGTTTTTTTTGTTACAATTTACTCAATTTATTCATCTTGTTTTTTGCACCTCGCCGGCGTTAATTGTTTACTAATTGTTCACTTTATCTTTCTAATCTTTATTGCAGATTTTGGTTTCAGTAATTACTTCAAACCTGATAGTCTTTTAACAACATGGTGTGGTTCACCTCCATACGCAGCTCCTGAATTATTTGAAGGTAATCAAATTGTTTTGGAAAATGTTTATAGTTAATTTCAATCACTACAATCATGATGATGATGTGTTTGTTTACAACAATCAACTTCCATAGAGAGTGAGAGAGAGAGATAATAATGATTCAACGGATTAGATACAATGATCTCTCTCTCTCTCTCACTCACACACTCACTCTCTGTTTACAATGAGGATAAATTGTTACAATTAATGACAGACAAGTGACTAAATAAGCAAAATCAAAGGTCATCTACTTCATGATCATCATTTTGACAATGAAATACAATTTTACTACAACCGGTTGGAATTGAATTGAAAAATACTATTCTAATTGAAAGGATTAATTCATTTCCAACCCAAGTACAGAAATTGAATTAACTTTTTCACATTCGTAACTTTTTTACTTCTCTTTATTCATCTTTGTTATTATTCATCATCATGAAGATGATAACTGATTTCACTGAGTTATTATTATTTTGAAACGAACGATCCGAATCACTGATTACTTTGGTTAATTGTGATTGTGTACAAATTGAGTTTTAAATGGTGAACCCTTGATTTGATTGAGATTCATGAATTTGAATCATGATGAGGACTCCAAGAAAATGATGATAACTATTATATTAAATAGGTCTGTGTTAAGAATCAAATCGACATGCAATTAATATGATAATGAAGGTCAATCGAAACAATTTTCATCATGATGATGAGGAAAACAACATTAATTAAAGATGATGATGATAATTAATCGTGATAACGTAAAAAAAGATCATAATTGTTACTATTATCATCATCATCATCATTGTTTTTTTCTCCTCTTTCTGGTTGATGATTAACTCGATTCCAAGCAATACACAATCAATCAGTAATCAAAGGCACAACAGCTTAATTTTAATCATAAATTAATACAGTTCACTGTAAATGATTGTACTTAAATTGCTGTGATGTTGTTTCAAGGTTTGTTTTGATTCCTTTGAAAATCCTTGAATCTTTTTAACATGAGCCTCATTTCAGTTAGATTTTTGTTTCTTGTTCATAATCAACAATTTACATTGCAGATAATATTTAATTTACTTTACTCTTCTCATCAACATCTTCCCAATCACTCACAATTAACTAATTGTTACTAACCAACTTGCTAACTGAAATAATTTGTATACAAATTAACATCACATTTACTTTTTTTTTCAATCAACTATTGATTTGATTTATATTATTACTTGAGACTTGAGTTAACATCATAATAATTTCAATTATTGATTCTGATTGCAAGTTAATTAGTTGATCAATTTTATTATTGGTCACTAAATTAACTTAATCAGTATGCTAATTAATTGGATGGTAAAAATAAATTGTTAATGTGTGTGTGTACTGCTAAATGTGACAAGAAGTAACAATTTAAATTGTGAATTGAATTAAATTGGATGAAATCAGGTTTCAAGTTCATCATCAATTATTATAACGGTTTTTAATCATGTCGATGATTGTGATGATAATAATAATACATTTACCATTGAACTTATATCAATTTTAACTGAATTAACTGTCCACCCCTCAGGGTAATTAGATAAATTTTCATACCCTATTTTGATTAAATTGAATCAATTTGATAGTGATGATAATTAAATGTATATTAGTTTCTAGGTCATTTAATTGTTATCCCAAATGAGATCTAATCAGTTGAATTTTAAAAATATTACTTTGATCATAATCTAATTGTTAAATCTTAAATCATCTCGATAAACTTTAACCTTTTTCTAATTACAATCATGATTAACTTTCTTAATTATTTTTCACAATTATTTTAATTTTTCTCGTCTTGTCAACATGAACTAATTAATTGAATAATTTCAAGGTTAATCATTCCAATCTCTTTGGTCAGTTGATTACAATTAAGATTATAATTGTGAGTTTTTTTACTACTAATTGTGATCAATAAGTGTAATTATCAGGGTAACAATAATCAATCCGATGAATTTAATTATAAAAATTAATTGATTATCCTACTAGCAATTCCCTGGACTCTTAATTGTTGATAGAAAAGTTGTTGTTAATTGTTGTTATGTTTCCAATATATTGATTATAATGATTATTTAACAACTTTTTCATTGTCAGTTCCAGTTCCAGTTTGATGATGTTAATTGTTGATTTGATTTCGCAAAAAGTTAATGATGATTAACTTTTAGAAAAGAAATGATTTCTATTCCTTGTGAATATTAGTATTTTAATTGTCCTTCATTTAAAAAGGAAGCATGTTAATCATAATTGTTTAATAATGTTAATTTACTTTTTGCTCAGAAATTAACAACAATCAATCGATTATTATTTCCTCAACTCAATTGTTATAATTAACTGTCAACAGTTAGTTAACTTTACCTTTCCAATAAGAACGGAAATAGTAAATCAATTCTTTAACAATTAAACTTTTTCCCTCCATTCGTTGATAACAATTAACAAGTTTAAATTGATAATTATCGTTAATCATCTAAATTGTTATAATCAATTTAGAGAGGAAATTGAAATCTAAGATTCCCAAAGGTGATAACTAATCTGAGTGGGAGGTTAATTAGGATTAGAGTATGAAAAACTTTTCTCAGATGATTATGATTAGTGAAATTGGAATTAACCTGTAAGGTGTATGATTATGTAAATTAATTACTCTGATTTAGATGAGGGTTTTTTTAACCCTTTTCATGAAGATGAGGATGATTATCTCTCTCTTTCCACCATTGATGATGATTTAGGTGACGTAAATTAGATCAACCATCATGATAATTAATGTGATAACTTTTTGCATCGTTACGTCAGTTTGATATTGATACTTATTCATTTGTACGTTTGAGGGATGAACAGTAACTCACTTATCGTTTATCATCATCATCATCTCTCTCACTCTTTGTCTTTTAATCCTATTCAGTAATGCTCAAATGATAAAGATGATGATGATCGTCATCATTTGTGTAATCAAATTTATCATTGGCCTTTAAGCTCCAATTGAAATGATTTGTTCATAATTTTCATCAATTACAATTACAATCATCATGTAAGCATATTCATGATGTTGATGATCTGCAAACTCTCAAAACTGACGTTACAAAGTCTCTGATGATTAAAACATCACCAGAACCCAAATAATCAGATATGGAAAAATTTATCTTCTCTCTCTCTCTCTCTCTCTTATCTTCATCCCTGTTTTTGAGTGATTTTTATCCTCTTTCTCAATTTCTGTCTACTTATCTTTCCTAGTATATATTGACACTCATCATTCTGCCTCTTTCTCATCATCACAATGGTTCATGTTCATCATCAACTCATTTAATATTATTCATTGGTTGGATATTTATTCAACTAGAAGAATTGATTTGACCTTTAAATTGGATGATATACTAATCATCATCTATTCCTCTTGCTCTCTCGATTTACTTTATATATTATTGGGAAAAAGAAATAGCCTTAAGACGAAATGATGAGGAAATTTTGTTGATATAAATTCCCTAGATTGTCCATTAATGAGCCGATTTCTTCTCTATCGTCTCTCTCTCTCTCTCTCACACTCTCTCTCTCTCGTCATCTTCGTCATCATTATCATTCATTTGAAACACGTAAACGTGCATTCATAGTACAGGTTTGCAAGAATTGACTTGTTTCCTTTCTGATGCGCATCTCCGGCAATGATTTTTGGGATCTATTCAAGGACAAGATGAAAAAGAAATGTAAGAGAGATAGATGATAGTCTCTCTCTCTCATCATGAAATTCATGAATGGTAGACAGAAAAAGTGTAAAAAAGTAAGAGGAAAAAGTTCGAACCCAGAAATTATGTTCTAAGTAATAGAGCAAAAAGTGAGACGATTTTTCATCATGTCGATTAATATTCATTCTGATTGTGAGTGACATGATTCTGGTTCTGGTGATGATCAATTGTTGGAGTTAATTTTCTGGTTAATTGTTGTTGTTGTTGTTTCTCTCTGAACAATTGTGATTGTAATTGTTAGATGTTAATCATTTTGCCAGGAAATTATGATGATTATCAATAACCATGAATCAAGAAAAATTTGTCGATCATAATTGTGATGATCATTGAACAATTTACTTTACATTCAATTGCTTTGATTATCTTCCTCCCTTTTAATCATCATCACCTTTCCGCCCTCTTCAATCATCTTTGATTAAGTGATACTATTAATCATGAGAAAGGGTCATGATAATCAACTGATTGTCAACAATCAAGGTTTTCAGTTTTAATTGATAAACTTTCACTCTTTTTCATTGTTAACAATCAATAATCGACTAACCATTTACTTAAATGTTTACTTTTCTCATCAACAATTAAGCAATTTTAATTGTTAATCAATTGTAACTTTCTCCCTTCCCTTTAGTTATTAATTAGCTAAATTGTTCACGTTACAATCTAATATTATCTTGATTAATTGCACACCCAATTTGATGATTAACATTTATCTGAGATTTGATTGTTACAATTATCTAGTCTAATGATTACAATGATAATTAACTCACCAAACACTCACTAAACCTTTAATTGTAAAATATTTAGTTTAATCATTGAATCTGTTAAAGGTCAATGAATTTATCAATACACTTTATCATTAACTAATTAACTATTTTTTTTTTCAACAATTTACTCAATCAATTTGTCAATGTTTACCCAATCAAAGTTAATTGTCCCGTTTAATGATAAAGGTGAGATGGAAATGATTTGTTATCATTAACAGTTTTTATTTACAATTACAAGGATTAATTGTTGCGATTGTTAATATTACAATTTGTTGATTAATCTTTTCTAATGTCCACAATCATTAACAATTAACGTTTTCATCATGAACATTAATTATTGACATTTCACCTTACAATCCACAATTAGTATTAATTGTTATCATGACCCTTTAACTAACCTTTAATTGTGTTTACCTGGAAAATGATCAATTTAATCACGCAAACAAACAAAGTCTAAACGTAATCAAATAGTAACAATTTGATTAATCACAATTGAACTAAACTCATCTCATACTTGCTTTTGATAATACAATCAATTAATCATCATTTAAGTTAATTAATTATTGTTCAAAGTAAATTAATCTCCTTGACAATTAATCCTTTCCCTTATAAACAATTAATGGCTAATAATTAAGATGACTGATTTAAAATAATCACGGATATTAAATTTTATAACGTGTTAATTTAAAATAATTTAGTAAATCAATTGAGTTTTTAATGATTCATCAAATTAATATTGATGATTAAAGTGATTAAGTGATTATCAGTTAATAGTTTATTTTGATTAACCTTGGACTTTTTTTTTCATTCATTTAGTTAATCACCAATACTAATCAATACGATAATTATTGATGATTAAAATATGAATTAGTTAATTGAGGACAATTAGCAATCGTTTCTTGTAGTACATGATTAACATTCAATTTTTGCTCCACCAAAATTATATAAACAGAACTGAATTAACTGACCTTTGTAATTAAAGTTAATCATTTACAGTTAGTCTTAATTGCTCTGACGTATGATTAGCCCTTTGTACCCAATTAATAAATTAATTGTTCAATATTGACCATTGGTTTTTAGCAAACAAAAAACAACAATCAAAGACTAATTAACTAAGATAAACAATATTATTATTGTTATGATTTAATCACGAGGATTAACTGATTAAGTAAAATCTTGATTAGTTGTTAATTGTTAACCTGAGAGGTTTTAATCATGGTACCAGTTGAACATAATTAAATTTGATGACGTTCTCAACGGTTTCCTCTTGCTTTTAAATTTGTTAATAATTTACGCTGATTGTTGATTTTATTATTGACGATGATTAACTTGATTGTTACACGATTCATTTTCATGACGTTGATTATATTGACAAAACGATTAGATTTTTGTTGAAAATTTCTGTTGATTTCCTTTCCAATTGATTGTATTCAATTAATTGTTATCATTTCATATTAACAATTTAATTCATAAAAAAAGGTCTTTGATTTGGTTGACAATCAACTTAAATTAGTTAATTTTGTTTTTCTTACAATCTACTAATTGCTATTTGCTAGTATATTACAAGAGACGGTACAGTTAATTGTTACATCAATTATTACAATCAACTTATTGATTTAGTAACATTTGTAACTTTGATTGTTATTTAATTTTGGTTGATCAACTTTCATCATAAAAAAACTATTTTCATTGTGATTAACTTTGAATTATATCAACATGATTGTTAATTAAGATGATTGATCAATAGTAACACTAATTACTTAATAAACTAATTAATGATTAGAGAAAATTTAAACACTTTTAATATTGTCTAATGTTGATTAACCGTTAAAATGATCTAAAAAAATTGATCATTTCCAAGGAAATGGAAAACAATTAACTCAACTAACCAAATGATTACAATCAGTTAACCTTGTCTATAAGTTTTTCCTGTTGATATTAATTTTCTTTACCCTTTAGCTTTTTTTTGCCATAGCAATTGATTAATTGATCAACAGAAACAGAAATCAATCAATCATTCAATTGGAAAACTAAGTTTATCAAGTGTCAACAATCAACAATCACCAGTAACCTTTAAATGAAATCAAATTGCAATATCTAAATCCACCAAACTTTCAAAATAGTAACAACAATTAACCAGGCAGCAATTAACAGTAAATTGCAAATTAATTAAGAGAAATAAAGAGAAAAAGTAAACTTGATGATCCTTTACAATCAATAAACTGTACCAGTATAACTGCCAGAGGAATTAACTTTACCTGTAACAATTAATAGCCAACAATCAACTAATAGAATCAATGAAAACAACTAATGATTATCAATATACTTTTCTTTGCAACAATTGACATTTACAATAAGGAAAAGTTTTGATATTTAGAAAACCATTCAAACCAAATACAATTTAAAGTTATCATCTCAATGATGATGACGATGATGGTGACATTTGACATTTACAGTTACCTTGACTCTATGTGAAAATATTGATTGGTGGCCTCTATTTTCATGTGAACCTTAATCAGGAACTAGAATCTGCAACTTATATTTAATGTCTTACCTTGGATATTAGTGACCTCAAACAATCAGTTAATCATGTTCAATATACTATCTCAATTGAATGTATTAGTTTTCACCAATCATAATCTATCATAATCAATATAACCATGATAGTGATATATATTTAATATCCAATCAAGAGTAAATCCAATTGTTATCAACTAATATTATCGTGATAATAGTTTTATTTTCAATTGGGATGAAAATTTTCATGAAAATGATTAAAAAAAAAAGTTCAAATTTCCGTTCAGGATGTTAAACATTCAACTAGAAATTCATTCATGTTTTAAATGATTCATTTACTTTTATGGCCAATTTTCATTGACGTAAATTAATCATTGAGATCTCGTGAATATCATGACGATCAACATGATTGATTTATCATCTTTTGTTATTCCATTTGATTAGTTGATTAACTTTACTCTCTATCTCTTTATTTGGTCAAAACTTTTGCAATTTTTTACTCTTCTTCCTCTTCAACAGATTAAATTAAGAAATGATTTGCTTTATTTTCCTAGCAAATTGTTTGCGATTTGATTATCGATCCTCAACTAATCAACTCTTTAATTGTCATTTATTTAGGTCGCTTTTATAATGGTCCCAAAGCTGATATCTGGTCATTGGGGGTGGTTCTGTATGTCCTAGTCTGTGGAGCCTTGCCCTTTGATGGACACACCTTACAAAGCCTTAGGTATCATAATTTTCATCAATTGTTACAATTGGATTAACATACAATTTGATAATCATCATCATTTATTGTCATTTATGTTTCATGTTATCAGATAATTTATTTCCTAAATTGGAATAGACTATTGGTAACAATCAATTGATTTAATTTGTTTGATTGTTGTTTTGTAACAATTGAACAATTTGTTTAATCCAATCAGTTTTGAAATGATTACTGAAACTTTGACATAGTTAATTGTTGATATCAATCAATGTTTTTACCAATCATCATGGTTCCAATGTTTAGATTCAATCTGATTAACTCTGGTTAATTTCAAGTGAATTTCAATATTAATCAATTTTGGTTTATCCAATTCAAGATTAATTATGTTTTGTTTTTCTTTCTTCACAATTAAAATTAAATCTGAAATAATTTAGATCCAGAGTATTGGTTGGAAAGTTTCGTATTCCTTACTTCATGTCCCGAGAATGTGAATCGTTAATCCGTCATATGTTGGTGGTTGAACCAGAGAAACGATATTCAATTCAACAGATTAAAAGTCACAAATGGATTAAAGCTCATGTTCCTAATCCAGAGGATAATCCATGGAGAGGAGGAAGTGGATTAAGGCCAGAAGAGGGTGAAGGAGATAATTACGAGTCAGAAGCAATGACGATAAACAATCAGATTGAAATTGATTGTCGATCTACAAATGATGAGAATAATACAAACAATCAGAATTTAATTATTAACAATCAAACTGGTAAAATGATTAGTAACAGTCAAAGTTCACCAAATATAAGTCAATATTTAACAGGTCGCGGATTAATGACCGGAATTGGTGGGACTGGAGTGGGTGGAGGAGGTGGAGGTGTGAGTAATGTTTTGAGCCTTTTAGGAGGTGGAGGAGGCGGTGGTGGGATCGCTTATGGGGAAATGATTTCTTACACCGGAGGTGATATTGGATTAGGAGATGGAATTGATTACAAGGTGATTGAATGGATCGCCAATGAATTAGGCCTTGATAATCAGGAAGTAATTTATGAATCGGTTCGTAATTCAAGTTACGATAATTATTATGCCATGTACCATATCCTTCGGGACCATAATATAATCCATGGGTATACATCACCTTGTTCCAGTGCACCTCCGTCTCCGCCATTATTACCAATTGTGGCTGCGGGACAACAGAGGAAATCATCAATCACCACGGGAATTGTTGAAAGAGATTCAACTCCCACCTCAACGCCAGTTACTTCACCTAAAAGCACCTATTTAACTGCCAATTCAGTGGCCACTTCGGCAAACACTCAACGTCGACACACATTTGGCCCTGATGGAACCACTTCAGCCACTGACACCTCACAAACCATGTTAACACCGCCCTTGCTTTTCCTAACACCGCCAACAACCAACACGGGAACCGGAGCTTTCCCAACCCATAACCTAACAATGGCACCTCCCAACTACCCACTCAATAACATGGATCTACTTAAACCACCGCCGGTCCTTTTAATGGTTTCCAATAATTTAGGTCGTCGTGCCTCTGATGGTCAAGCTAATTACTCCAATATTTCCAATCAGCCGGGTAATTTACCGCTAACCTCAGATTCACCAGTTGATAACAATCAACAACAGCCAATTTCATGTGCCTCAACTAATATGACAAATTTACAACAACAACCAACCACTTTTTTCCCACCGGGAATGGTTTTCACTACAATCCAACAACAACAACAACAAACCCAACAATATTTATCAGGAGATTCTGTACCCGGTGGTAACTCTGCAACATCAACTCCAAGTCCACCCACAGGGTTTGGTAATACACCTCCGTTGTTTTATGGTGATTCCACCTCCATCTCACCACCATATTCATTTTCACCATCACCAGTTTCCATGGCCACAGGTTATGCTGGTCAACCCACCATAAGTACCGGAGGCTGTACAATTATGTCATCACCCTCATCGTCAATTAATTGTGAATCAAATCGTTGTAACGATAAATCAAATCGTTCGTATCCATATTCACAACGTAAACGTAATTCATTAACCGATTCCTCTGGTTCCCGTCAAAGGAGAGCGGGAATTGTCACCGGATGTATGGTATCAGCAGGTTCATCTGAAAGGTGATGATTAGTTCATTAATTAACACAGCAATTAACTAATTCCCATTTCGATCAATTTGTTAAAATTTTTTTCTCTCTCATTTTCTTCTTGTTATATCTCTCTGATTCTTGCAACTAACAATTAACTATAATTTTATCATTTACCATTTTTTTTTTGCAACTACATTATTATCTAAATTGTTACAATCATTTATTTAATTGCTGGTCATTTATTTTCAATCTAATTGTTTGCTACATTTGTGTTAAATTTAATTGCATCTTGATTTGTTTTCATTTTTTCAATTTTGTTTTGTTTTTCATTTCCTCTTTTCTGTTATTAATTTAATTTCTTGTTAAACATTCAACTGATTTAATTGTTAATATCACATCATTTTGCTCAACAATCTAATATAATTGAACCATTAAGCCTAAATGATTAACTTAATTGTTATTATTATTTTCCCTTTTGCTCAACAGTATAAAATATTAGTTATTAGTTTTGCTTGTAACTGTTAAAATTTTGTGATCAACTTTTTGATTATTATTTATGAATGAAAGACAAAAAATATAACAATAATAATTTGATTAGACCAACAATTAACCGTAGCAATGATTGTTGATTGTTTAATTGTGTGTGTTTCATTTCAATCCATGACCATGAATATCCTTAATGATTAACATTGAATATCAACCTTTTGAAAATCCTTGAAACACCAAACAATCAACAGTTAATTACAATAGAAACAAATTAAATCATCAAATTATCAGAAACAATCAACAAACAATAAAAAGTAAAATAAGACAATTAGATAAACATTGAGATGATTAGTGATGAACATAACATTACGAAATATATGATAATCGATAATGAGAAGCGAATAATTTATTTCTAATTGTTTCTATTTAATTGTCTCTCTTTCTATTCAACAATCAGGACTCGTCGTCGGGCCTCAGACGGAAGTGGAGTTTGCTGTAAGCAGCATTCATCATCGCCGCCATTGTTAATTAATTCATTATCGTTCTCATCATCATCAGCAAACTCATCGAACCAGACAAATGCTGTAAACCTAATGACAAACTGTTCAGGATCGGCTTCCGGATCAACTCAACCGCTTTCAATTCAATGTTTACAATCAGAACTTAGGTCACTTTGTGTCTCCTCTCCGCCCTCCATACAAACCTCACCGATCCACCAGCCGATCGGCTCATCCTCACCTTCACCCAATAGCTTGACCGCTTCCCCACCGCCGCTTTCATTACAACAAAATGTACTTCAAATGATCAGCGAGGAAAACATAAACTCCAGTTCAGGTCAATTAATGTCAATCAACATGAGCACAGCCAACAATCAACATAACGATGATAATAACAATAATAACTACGATAATAGTAATACAATTAACCATAATCAAAACCTAATTAACAGTAATAATCATAATAGTAATAATATTTATACAAATAACAATTTCAATAGCGATTATCATAATAATATTAATAATGATAACTCCAATCATGTCAATGATAATAATTGTAATATTAATGTTGATTATGGTTTCCAATCGTGTCCACCACCACCACTCCCACCTCATGGTCAACCCTCTGATTATCCTTCATCTTTACCTGCTTCACCTTTACCCTTCCTTGGATTAACCTTTACACCACCACAATCATTTCGTTGTTCACCCGTTTCCTCCGACAAAGAATCGTCATCTTCCTCTTCCGGTCAACCTTATCCTCAACATGGGATCACCTCAACTGCCACCACTTTGGCCAATGCTGCAGCCGCAGCAATTAAACAATTCAATCTAAATGCACCGAGTATTTCGGTCACTGATGAACTTGGATTCTCAGCTCATTTTCCCATCATTCCGCCGCCACAGGGATTTGCTCATTCGGGCCCATGTCCAATGGAACCGGAAATCTGTCATCTATCCCAACCCAATCTCGACCAATCATCTCCAGATGATATCGACCATCACTCTTATCAACCATCTCATCATCTCTCATCTTCCGGGTCACCTTTCAATCCAAAGATACAAACGACTCTTCCTAAACTCCATAGGTGGAAAGAGGGTAATTCGAGGCAATCGTCATCACCTTTAGTCACTTAATTTGCATCTTCATCTTCCTTCATCATCATTACCTTTTCTTTTTCGTTTTCTATCCTTTTCTTTTTTTTGTACCTTCTCCTTTACGAACGAAAATCCTTCTGTTATAAATTCTATTGATTATTATTCATTTCTATTATTTCGTTTATTAATTTTCTTTTTGTTCTGATTTTTCCCCATCAAATTATATTCTTATTATCAAATTATCTTATTTTCTGTTGTTAATTTGATTTCAAAACGATTCTCTTGTTTCTCTCTCTCTCTCACCAGTTCTATTGCCTTGTAAATCTTATGATTGTCATTTTCAATTGATCGTTAATTGTTTTTGCATTATTATTATAATTTAACTTTATTATTGTTTCTCTGTTATCAAAACCATGTAAATGAACAATCAATTGACAATTAGATCCTTAATACAAGAGATGATGAAAACATTTTTCATTCGGAATCCGATGTCTCAGTTATTTTATCAGTATTTATATTCTCATTCCCTGTGATAATTTCCCAAAGCTTTTATACTAATCTCATTGTCTCTCTCTCTCTCTCTCTCCGTCTTAATCCATTTTTAGATCCAGATAAACATACGAAACACTGTTCATATGTTCAATCATCGCTACTTCGACAAACATATCCACCAACAATCATCCCGACTCCTTATTTTACACAGAACCAGCAATACACTTCGTTACAGAACTTCAATCACCTTCCACAGGCACAAGACATTGACGAAGATATTTCCATAGACGATTTATTTGTGAACGTTTTCCCAACCCAAGCCTCAGGGAACAGTTGAGAACTTTTTCTCCGCACCAAAGTGTCCACGAAATCTCAAATCGAATGCGATAGCTCATAATAGGAAAGATGGAAAACTAAATCATAATTAGAAAGTCGACAATCTGAAATATCGATACATTCGAACGATAAATCAGATTCAATCGTCACATCTTCTGTATTCAAGCTTTCAGACTGTTCTCATTTCGATGATCATCAACTTATGGTGGATTTTAATTGTATGACAGTTAACATGATTTACTTTCGAAGCTCCAAATCTACTTAATCATTTCATCCCCTTCAGGCATATTCATTACTCTCGAGATTACAATAAACTTATTCGCAACAAGTACTTGATATTACACCGAGCAACTATTTTATCCCGACTGATCCTGGTTCTAATCAAATTACTTATTACTGGTTCACAAAAATTTAATTGTTCTCATGTTAATTATTAGTGATTAGCCATAATCTTATAAATCAACTTTCGCAGCAACAGATTGAAAGGTTAACAAGAAGGAGGATTTTAAATCAAAATAAACCAAATCAAGGATATTTAAAGAGTAGGAAACTTATGGATGATTGAAAACAACTGATTCATTGTCTTAATCACTTTGTTATATTTTAATTTTTGATTGGCAATCAAGACAATTTGTTAATGAAAACAAAAAAATTTCACTAATTAAAACAAAACATTTTCACTTGTAAATTCTCATTCCCAAGTTATTAATGCTTCTCAAACTAATAACATTACGATGATTAGATCTAATTGTTGAGCATCTTTCCAATGCAATTAAGGCCATTTCTTGATCTATGAAAGGCTTATGATGGACGATAAATATTTTTACCGATTCCAAAGCCGTAAAAGTTTTCAGATCGAATTCAAAGTTCGAAGCTCTTGAAAAGTTTCGAATGAATTTGACTTCGAACTTCGAACTCGAAAAAGTTCATCTATCAAAATGGTCCACTTTTCCGACTCTGCGAAACCGTCGTTAATCAACAATCTAGTTCCTTTAATATGTGCGATATATGAAGTATTGTATACGTTTAATTGTTAATCAAGTTCGAAGTGAAATCATTTGATTACAATTTAGATTATGATATAAATACGGTTACGTTTAATACTGATTTACAAAAATAATGTTGGAGGTTATCAAATATAAAAAGGTTCAGTTATAAAAATGCCAATCAAATGGAAATGAATTGAATAATAAATCGTTTCAATAAATTAGGGTTTAAGTTAATTAAGTGCCGTTGATGGTTCAGATTGTAATTCTGTGTGAGATTTACCAAGTTTGTTTGGACCTCGTTGTCTAATTAATAGCTTAATTGTTATGGATTAAGCTCTCAAGTAATTAGATTGATTATTGACCCGATTGCATTGGTAAAGCTTGCAAATCTTATTAATATCATCAGGTGACAATGATTTATTTTCGAGGTGATAACCCAACTCATTGATCGCGACTTCTGAACCTTTCGGTGTGATCGTTGGTAGTTTAGGATCAACTGACCACATGGAACTTGAATAATGCATGATTGATTTGTAATCATATGGTTCATCGGAATAAAGGTCACCCAACAATTTAGGTAACAATTTAAAGTTTCGACGATGTTTCTCATCGATGTTGGACCAATTAATATTAATGTAATTGTCACGATCAGGGCGAGCATGTTCATGCATTAATCCGAGAGTATGGAGAAGTTCATGTAAAATTGTTCCTAAAATGTGAACAATGAAAAAAAAACAAGAAAGAAAACAATTAGAGTGATGATTAGTGAAAGAAAATCGTCACATTAACTAAATTAATCAATGAGAAAATTGAAAATCGTACAAATCGTTTTCTTCATTGACTCGATGATTAGTTAATTTTGTTTTCCAACCAACACTAACCTCGATCTACACAATAAGGTATGTCCAGGTAGAGATCTTGTCGACCACCAACCTTACCGATCTCCGATGAACAACCTCGACCCGGAGAGATGAGAACATAATCAATGGCTGATTGTTGAGCTTCGATAAATTTAACACACGAAACACTTTCAATCATGTCCATAGCTGAACGAACTTCTAATTGTCCCCAATCGTCAAATTTGGGACTAAATCGATAAGGTACAATTCCGTTAATCCATAAATCAGTTGATTGTGATGTTAACACTCCCAATAATCCGGTTGTTGTTGATGATGGAGATGAAGGTAAATCAATTGAAGTTAATTTATAACAATAACTTAATTTGATTCTGATAATAAATATAATAGATACGAAAAGAGTAACAATTAAATTTGGTTGATCAGTCAACATATTATTCAGTTGTTTTTGTTAAATGTTTACAATCAAATTCAATTTTGTTGATTTTTTTTTGCACAATTAAACAATTAACGATCCAGGTAAATCTTTAACTGACTAATTGTTATTAGTTGAGAACAATTTTATAGTAATATTATTGAGATAACGTTAATTGCTTTTCAAGATGATTAAGATGACAATTCTAGTGTGAATCGCACTCGAGAATGTTAAATCATCATCTTCATCAGAACAATTTACTGATCAATTCCTGCCAATTAGCAATTTAAATTGGTCAAAATTTTAACAATTAAATTATTCGGTGGAAAAATATTTACAGTCCAAGACAATTAACCTAATTATTGTCTAATCTAATCATCTTTTTGATGGTTAATTGTTATTACCTTAATAATAATAAATCTCGAAGAGTAATTAACTTTCACTCTTCATTTGATTTAGTTATTACTTTGCTCAATACAATTAAGGTTATTAGATTTTCCAATGATTAAATTTAGTTTATTAATTTCATCACTGATTAATGTTGATTATTTGTCATCTTATGAACTGATTTAGTTTAATTCGTTCAATTTAAGTTCAATTTAATTCATTAGCCAGCACAATTTAATTAATCATATCAAGTAGTTTTAACTAATCATTAAGTTGTTGAGAAATAATCTGTTAATTGTGATTAACACCAATGATTAACAATTTAAGTGTACTGTACATACTAAATCAAAGAGTTAATTGTTGTTGAAAATTTCAATCAATTCTGCCAAGACCAAAGAGGAAAACCTGATTTACCAAATTGATGAACAATCAATTAACCAATAATTCACTTGATTGACATAAGTTTATTGTCTCTAGAACAATTTAACAACAATTTAACGTTAATTAAAATTAATTTCATCAACGTCAACGAGAAACCTTTGATTTCTTAGTGGGGGATTAATCAGTTGATCATTTATTACGTTTACATCACTTAATCAACTCAATCAACTTTATGTTGGTTAACTAAACATGATCATTAATTATCTGGGAATATCCTAAGTGATAATTGTAATTGTTAATCAAATTGTTACAGTTTCAGCCCTCTTTTCATTGGGTTGAAGGTGTGTTGTCATTATAATTAAATGGCCAACAATTAACTCAAAACTATTTACTCAGCATTTTGTAAGTTACATGAAATATTTTTCAATTGGTAATGTAATTAGTTAATCACTGAGAGAAAACTTGATTGTTGGTGTTAATTGTTGGAGTTGTGTTTATGTTATTTTTATTTAAGATTAATTAATGATTAATTGTTGATAAGGTTGAAGAACCTGAAAGTCATCAGATGTAGATCCTGGATGTCAGTCTTTTGATTGCAATTAAAATTCATTCATTACAATTAAAGTGATAATTAGTTGATTAATCATCAGTCTGGTCAATCATTCACCCAATCAAATAAAACAATAAGTATTTATTTTAGTAACAACAATCAGTTAATTTCAAACATTATTCAAACTTGACATTGATCATGAAAAACTTGACACTAACAATTAATATTATCAATTATTACATTACAATCATTAAATAATCAAGAGAATCAACTTGAAGAATTAAAGAAAACCTTGAAAAATCAATTTCATTATGTTGGAGTAACAATTTACTACTTTTACTAATAGTTAATCACAATTAACTGATCAATTTTACATAATCAACTTTCATCTCTAGTACTCTTATAAACGGAAACATAATTAATATTATTAGTTGATTGCTGGATAATCAATTTACCTGGTTAAGTAATTTACTCACAGTAAATTATTCCCAATAAGTAGGATATTAAACCAACTAATTAACTCAAACAATTAAGTAATTACATTCATTAAATTGTTTCCATTGGCACTAATTGTCATAATATTTAAATAGATCACAGTTATAATCATTTGATGTAATATTCAGAAGTAACTTTTTCAAAGACAATCAGTAGCTGAATATAAATTATTTCAAGTGTAACAATTTACTATAATGATTAGTAAATCACTCGAAACTATTAATCGTTTTACTAATTATTGAATTATATTCAGAATCGTCACGAATCAGATAACCGATCAGTTGATTAACTGTCAACTAGTAAAGGTGATTAATCCCGACGAGTTTGAACATTAATTTCGAACTATTTTCCTCGATAATTTTTCATTCTTTTCCCATGAAAATGATCATGATCTCAAGAATAATCTTCCGTTTTTACTGAATTTCATGTCAACAATTCACAGAAATATATGCCGACAGTATTTGCGTTTCATCAACAAACATCATATCTTTTGACCTTTGTAATCAGATATGATTAACTAATCATAGAATAGTCTGAGTGAAATGTTATTCTGAGGAACGATTTTATTATCATCATGATCTTGATTCCAATTTCATTCGGATTCATGAATAAATGGATTTACAATAAAAGAGAATACGAGTTTTCATCCCAGGCGATGATCATCATCTCGGAAATTTTTCTGGGAATCTGATCATTGAAAGAATTAGCTGATTTGGTAATTGTACTAATACAAGTTGAACAATCAATTGATTGGGATTTCCAACTGAATTCAATGGAAATACATGAGAATTGATGTTGTAATCATCTCGCAATCTTTTTTATCTTCAAGTGTTGGTAGTTAATCAAAAGTGTGATTTATTCTTGGTGGATAATAATTAGATAATTGAAATCATGTGAAATGTTAAGACAGTTAATCAATTAAAATCTAACTGATTAGTTAATCATTACAATCCATCAGCGACTCCTTGGACTATCAATACAAAGCATTTTCTGTAAACAAATTAAACAGCATCAACAACAACAATCAACTAAATTAATTATCATTATCTTTAAATCATTTGCAATTAGAAGCCAATATTTTTGGATGCCTTATCAGTGTTTTTTTATCGCTTGCCTAGAATAAAACAGTGTTAATTTAATCTAATTTGTGATAAAATTTCAGAAAATTGATAAAAATTTTTCAAAAAAGATAAGGATTCATTTCACTTAATTTATTTTCGTTTTGTTTTTTTTGAATGGTCCCTTTTAGTGCTCTCTTATGCCATCTAGTGTAATTGTTGAAATATATTCTGTAGAAAGAGTAAGTCAGATATGAAAACAATTAGGATTATTTTAAAAAGGGATGTCTCATTGACGTTATATGTAGAGATGTGGATGAAAATGAAAATGTGATTGATGATGATGCTAGCTGAGGTGATTTTTTTTACTAGACGCCTTTTGAATCAATAAAAAATATTTTAACTCACCAGAATTTTGGATTATTTCATTTATCACACTTGAGTTATCGTTTTGATTGATTGTATGTTAAGTTTATTTTCACAAAAAAAAATAGTTATGAAGTAAAACAATTTGATTTGGAAGTACAGTTTAAGTATAGATTTATTTATTTATTGTATTCTATTTTAATTATCGTTGCTTTTCAAGATCGAGAAGCAATTATTAATTTGATTTAGATTCATTGTTGCTTCTCAATTGAGGAGCAATTTTTAGTTGGTGTAGATTTGTTTTACTTCTCGATTGAGAAAAAATTATTAATTTGAATTAGAATTTGAATCAATTGAGAAGCAATGGATTTGAATTATAACCAACTTAAATCCATTGCTTCTCAATTGAAAACCAGTAGATCACAATAAACAATACATAATTAGTATTGTTTTCAATTGAGAAGCAATAGATTCAAACTAAAACCAACTTAAATCCATTGCTTCTCAATTGAAAACCAGTAGATCACAATAAACAATACATAATTAGTATTGTTTTCAATTGAGAAGCAATAGATTCAAACTAAAACCAACTTAAATCCATTGCTTCTCAATTGAAAACCAGTAGATCACAATAAACAATACATAATTAGTATTGTTTTCAATTGAGAAGCAATGGATTCAAATTATAACCAACTCAAATCCATTGCTTCTCAATTGAAAACCAGTAGATTACAATTAAGAATAAATAATTAGATTTGTTTTCAATTGAGAAGCAATGGATTTAAGTTGGTTAGTGACCTTCCCTTCAAACCAAGACGTTCTTAACGTCCAAAACTCTTTAATTTTACTCCCGTTGTGAATTAATTGCGGACAATTGAGATTATCAGTTTTTTTTATTTATTTGCCCTAAACAATTAAAGAGAAATGTTTAATTATTATAAGCACACAAAAATCATTATCAGTTCAAATCATCAAATTAACTAATACAATGATTAAAACCATAAATTAATTATTTTTTTGCCAAATTACAAAACTATCACCAATCAATAAGGTTTAATGTACTCGATGGATAAATCCGTTTCCTCTTCAGGTGGTTCGCTAGGTCCTAGGTGGTTGTATATCCTCCAGCCGTTGTCTTTCTAGACGGTCCACGTTTTGGTTGAATCCATGTTCCCTGATACATACTACGTAAGTGAGAGACACTATGGTATAAAAACATTTCACGGTCGGCAGAGTCCAGTTGTTGGCACCTGACAACATGTTCATGTTGTCCACAAGAGCTTCCCAATTAATCTGCCCTGATGGGCGGTTAAGCACTAGCCCAATATATTGAACATGTTGTCTAGTATAATTCATTTGGTCGAATTTTATTTGATTGTACACAATATCTAGAAAATTACTGATATTAAAGGTGTTGGTTTCTTTTACTGGCGAAAAAGAAAACTCAAAGTTCATCGGAAGAGTCATTTTATACCTTTGACAAAGACAATCGAAGGACAAATGACCGACAAGATGGCGACAAAAGCAAAACAATTTTCTCTCTTTTCTGATTGGTTGAAAAAGTAAAGAATTTGATCGAGGCGACATCTGAGTCGAGTAAACTAATTACCCTAAACAAGTGAAAGTGAGAAACATTTAATTATTATAATTATACAAAAATTATTATCAATTCAAATCATCAAATTAACTAATATAATGATTAAAACAATAAAATTAATTATTTTTTTCCAAATTACAAAACTGTTACCAATCAATAAGGTTTAATGTACTCGATGGATTAATTAGATAACAATCAACTAATCAAGAAAATTCAACAATCAGCCTAATTATCAGAAAATGAGGAAAACAATAAAATCATCCGATACTTTAATTGTTGGTTATTTAATTGTTATCATAGAATCAGATGTTTTTCTTTTGTTTTTATCTGCAATCATAAATCACCATTGATAAGAAAAATATGATTTCCTTTATTCCAACGTAATTGTTTCATTTTATTTACCTTAATCAAACTTGATTGAACTGTCAATTCATTTTTCATAAGAATTTAAATTAATTTGATTTAATTTTCTTCTTCCATTGAAACAAATTCGCATCAAAATTTTCCCGCTTCTTCTTGTCTTTTGTTTTTCTCTGCTTTTTGTTTACCTTTCAATCTGTTTATCAATTTCTACTTTTGCTCATCTCTTTTAATTGTTGTTCCAATTTTCTATTGTTAATTGTTAATTAGTAAATTTCTCTGTTCAGATGATCATCAAGTCGATTATAATCTCAAGTGATAATAAGTTATGAAGATGTGAAACCATAATTTGAATTATTTTGTTATTTTCTTTTTCGATGTAAACAGAAAAATGTCTCTTCCCAAGAAAGAGAACATTGTTCATCTATTGAATTTCTAATCATCTTTTTTTTCTAATGAAACGTTTAATCATTGCTCTAATTGTGATGAAGTTAATCATTCTATCAGTTGTTATTCTATCTTTGGAACTGACCCTGTAAGGGGCATGCGTATATATGGTTTAGTTTCGCCTTATCAGTGTTTTTTATCGCTTGCCTAGAATAAAACAGTGTTAATTTAATCTAATTTGTGATAAAATTTCAGAAAATTGATAAAAATTTTTCAAAAAAGATAAGGATTCATTTTACTTAATTTATTTTCGTTTTGTTTTTTTTTTGAATGGTCCCTTTTAGTGCTCTCTTATGCCATCTAGTGTAATTGTTGAAATATATTCTGTAGAAAGAGTAAGGACTTATCCGAAATGAGTAGTTTTTACTAGTTGCTAACACTAACTAGTGGCTCCGCCCAAGTAGTACTGTCCGAATCTGAAAATTTACACTAAACTATTTAGTGGTTACCATGGCATTAGGGATAGTATAGGGGTGGAAATCTAGTCGGTGATTTAGCTCATCTACTTTTCATCCCCTCACACTACTTTTGGGTTGCTAAGGTAAACAAAGATTTTACATATTGTTTTTAATGAAGAATAAGCCCGCCATAAACAAAAATTTTAGTTAATAATTTTTAAAGATAAGATTTGATTAATTTTCGACAGTACTAGATCTATTAATTTAATTAAAATAAATAAAAAAATTAAATAATCCTTTAATTGATTTTTTTGTATTGATAAAACATTGGAATATTAAACCTTAGTTAAATTTAATTACGATAGATGGCGCTCTAACTAGTAGGTAATTCGGATGCTACTTTTAAGTATTTTCTATCTAGTAAATACTATCTAGAGTAGTATGTAGTATTTACTACACATTTCGGATAAGTCCTAAGTCAGATATGAAAACAATTAGGATTATTTTAAAAAGGGATGTCTCATTGACGTTATATGTAGAGATGTGGATGAAAATGAAAATGTGATTGATGATGATGCTAGCTGAGGTGATTTTTTTTACTAGACGCCTTTTGAATCAATAAAAAATATTTTAACTCACCAGAATTTTGGATTATTTCATTTATCACACTTGAGTTATCGTTTTGATTGATTGTATGTTAAGTTTATTTTCACAAAAAAAAATAGTTATGAAGTAAAACAATTTGATTTGGAAGTACAGTTTAAGTATAGATTTATTTATTTATTGTATTCTATTTTAATTATCGTTGCTTTTCAAGATCGAGAAGCAATTATTAATTTGATTTAGATTCATTGTTGCTTCTCAATTGAGGAGCAATTTTCACCTCTTTCTCTCGTTCTCACTTCGTTTAAGTTCTTATTAAATTGTGAATCATGTGAACATTAATACGATGTGATTTTCTTCATCTTCTTTAATCCCTTTTTTGTTACACGTTATCAAGTATTCAGTTGAATACTACAACATGCTTATGGGAAACTAAAAACTCTTAATGTGAGCTATGAATCCTAGTAAAAACTACTCTGGCTATTCTTGATACACTTGATATTTACAACCAAAGCCCATCATCAAAATTACATTGATGATGATGAATAAAAGGGATCATGTTCAACTGAACTTTATACACATTGGAGAATTGTTTGCTTAAGCATTTTCTCCAATCTTGTAGAGATAATAATTTTGACCAGATTCATGGGAAATTATCTCATTCAATGAGTTAACCAAAGTTAATTCCATATTTATCCTTTTGTTTTTGTCATTCTTTTCAATGAAAAAAAGACACAAAAAAAGCGGTTGATGATATTTGAATTGACCAAGGTGAGAAAATTTGGATTCATTGCTTCTACATTGAAAACCAGTAGATTACAATAAACAATCAATAATTAGTATTGTTTTCAATTGAGAAGCAATGGATTTGAATTATAACCAGCTTAAATCCATTGCTTCTCAATTGAAAACCAGTAGATCACAATAAACAATACATAATTAGTATTGTTTTCAATTGAGAAGCAATAGATTCAAATTATAACCAACTTAAATCGATTGCTTCTCAATTGAAAACCAGTAGATCACAATAAACAATACATAATTAGTATTGTTTTCAATTGAGAAGCAATAGATTCAAATTATAACCAACTTAAATCGATTGCTTCTCAATTGAAAACCAGTAGATCACAATAAACAATGAATAATTAGATTTGTTTTCAATTGAGAAGCAATGGATTTGAATTCGTTATAATTTGCATTCATTGCTTCTCAATTGAAAACCAGTAGATCACAATAAACAATGAATAATTAGATTTGTTTTCAATTGAGAAGCAATGGATTTGAATTCGTTATAATTTGCATTCATTGCTTCTACATTGAAAACCAGTAGATTAAAATGAACAATCAATAATTAGTATTGTTTTCAATTGAGAAGCAATGGATTCAAATTATAACCAACTCAAATCCATTGCTTCTCAATTGAAAACCAGTAGATCACAATAAACAATGAATAATTAGTATTGTTTTCAACTGAGAAGTAATAGATTCAAACTATAACCAACTTAAATCCATTGCTTCTCAATTGGAAACCAGTAGATTACTATTAAGAATAAATAATTAGATTAGTTTCTTATTGAGAAGAAATGGATTTGAATTGATTATAATTGAAATCCATTGCTTAAACTACTCACTCAAACATTCTATTAATAATTCTCTAATTAATTTAGTTAGCTTCATTATGAGGTCTCGTCGTTTCCGTTTGTTACACAAACTTAGTGTTTTACCGACACCAGCGAACGATATTGAGTTTAAAAATCAGTATTCATCTCAATCTAATTTTTAACTCACCTTTAGCTTTGATTGTTCATTGATGACTTAGGTAAACCATTATAACAATTAGTTAATCGTTGTACTCGTGTAATCATTAATTTATTTAAATGAATCAGACTTAATTTAGTTAATCCAGTTGATCTTCAAAGAAGAAGGTAAGAAAATTGATTGAAATGAGCAACTTTAATTGTTGAGGGACAGCTATTGGTTATCAAGGAATCGCAATTGAAAATAATCACTCATTTGATCACAATTAATTGGATTGCCTTAAAATTTAAAAGTAAACCCATTTTCTAAGATGCTTTGATTTTGCTACTTAACTGACGTTTTTATTTGAACAAATTTGATAAATTTCTTAATTTCTCCCAGTTAATCATTAATCACGCTCGAATCTAAATAATCATCGTTCATCTCGATCACTTGATTCAATTAATCTTTCTGATCCAACACTATCGATATAATAATTTCCTGGTCATCTGAATCAATTGCTTTGAATATTCTTCAGTACAAAAAGTCAACAATTAAATTGTGATCAATTATTTTCTTGATTGATTTGCTTAACAAATCTAACAATTAGAATTGACCAATAAAACATTAAATTTAATTACAAATTTTCGATACAAGATCAACAAACTTTTAACTTGTAACACCAATCAGAACACAGTGAGTGAGAACACTAGTATACACATACTAGTGTTCTGTATACTAGAATAAAATTTCATCATTTGATTAACAATAACGATAATGATAATTAAATTTACAGACAATCAAATCTAATGATTATCATTAAATCATGTAATTATTGACAATAAGTATCACTCTATCTCGTAAAGTCGACTTGTGGAACCTGAATGTGACAAAAGTGGGGCTGCGGCCGCTTGGCGGCCGCGCCCCACTTGTAGATAAAGAGTCTAGCTAATTTAATTTATATAAAAGTGGCTAATTTTGTTTCAGTTGGATGAATCAGAAAGAGACTTGTTCAGATAAACAATCACTCATCTGTTTTTACAATATTATTCGAAATAAAATGAGCATTTAATTATTGAATGTTATTGAAAGTTCAATATTTCTTCGTATTTGCAAAATTATTAACTTTGTTGTAATATAAAACCGCGTTTTTCAAATTTTATTCATATTTTTTAATAATTGCGCCGAGTTCACTTGCCATATATATATAAGTGTCTATATCTTCTTTCTGGGTCAGTTCCGATTTTGCGTCAGCAAAATTTATTAATGTCTAGTCTTAAAGTTGTTAATCATCTTGAGTCTTAATTTTTTGATTCAACTAATTGATTTGATTTATTTCTGATTAACTAATTGCTGAGAAAAAGTTGATCATAATCTTGATTATTTTATACAATTTGTAACCAAAAGTAATCAAAGGGTTTATTTATTGTTGGTTAATTACATAAGATTAATTTATTAATCTATTCTTAATTGTTAATATGGCAACAATTAAGAGATAAAAATAAACTAACTGATTGGAAACGAATCAACAATCAAATGAATAGTTAATCATTACAAGTGAAGAATGGAAAATGATTAAGGAAAAAGTTGTTGAAAATTAATCAATTGTAACAATCAACATTCTGACCAAATTAAATCATATTAATCACAATCGTAATTACGTTTAAGAGTCGTAATAATTTAAGAGATTAATGTTTTAATTAGTAAACAAATTGTATCATATGAAAAATATATGAATCCAAATTGTGAACAAAGTTAATTGTTGATTAACTTTTAAAAGGACAACAAATTGAAATATGGATCAATTAAAATTGTGTCTGTACAATACAACAAATTGTGATAATTAATATTAAATTTTGAGAGCGAAAGAAATGATTAATTAATTGTCAATTTGATTAATTAAAAGGTGGGTTTGTTTTTCGTTCATTTGAATAATTTGTTAATTGTTGAACAAACTTTCAACTCTCAAAGTAAAAGTTTTAATTACTCTTAATACTGTTGGATATGTTCATTGGTCAACCTGAAGGGCAATAAATTAATTAGGTAAATCAGTTTTAGAGGAAACAATTAGTTAATTGTTTCATTTTCCAATGAACAGTTTCTTCAGAGTATCAAGACTACCTCCTTGGGAAGTTTTTTTCCAGCATTTACATGAACCAGGAATTAGGAACCAATCATAATAGACTCTCATCTGATAGCAACCGACAGCATCATGGCCGTCACACTCTTCCTCTTTTACTGTTTCCGTTTTCCGGTTTGATGTTGAAGAAGTTGAAGAGGTCAAAGGTGGTTGGGTCGAAGCCGAAGCCGAGTGACTTGATGATACAATTTGAGGTTTTTCTTCATCATGATAGACCATCATTCTTGGTTTGGCTCCCCGACGATTCTCATCTGGTGCCATCATCATCATCGCTTCCTCTCGGTAACCAACTTTACGATTTAAATATTGATCTATTTCCGGGTAACTCATTGCTTGACCACCGATTCCAATTCCACCGCCAGGTAAATGGTGGGTCATTGGGTTCATTGGGTAACCATGAGGTGCATGTTTAACTTGATTGTGTGGGTGATTAACAAGATGACCATTACTATTAAGATGATGTTTTGCTTTGTTGTTATTATTATTGTTGTTGACCATTGGGTTAACTGTATAAGTTTTAATTTCACTTGGTGAGGCAATTAAATTGTTGAACTTTGGTTGAGGATAAAATATTTCAGCGACCAGTAAACTGACCCACCGAGGAGATTCATGACAAACTCCTTCCATGAAATCACATCGTCCTTTCCTGTAACAATTAAAAGAACAATTTAAATTAATCAACAATCAATTGTTTTGGTTAAAGGTTCGTTGAAAACAATTAACTTTGTTTCTAAATTGTGACAAAAGTTTTTTTTTCCAGCTCATGCCAACCATTGGGCTCAATTTATATATAACAGGATCTTTTTAATAACAACAATTAGTTAACTATTTCAAATAATTAATAACTTTATTCTTAATTCATTAATCTTTTAACTATGTTAAAGATTAAATTTCTATTCAAATTAATTCTAATTGTTGAGATATTGTTATCGTGACCGAGACCGTGAGTGAATGTCAATTACTAAATCTGAGTTGTTCTTGGTACCGTTGGGATAGTTAATTGGCGAGCAACAATTTAAATTAAATTACACAATTTACACAATTAAATGAGGTAAAGAAATAAATTATTATGCTAATTGTGTGTTCATTATTCATCAACCTGATTGTTGGAACATTGGAAAACATAATTTAAGAAACAACTAAACTTGGAACTAGTTTTCAGATTAAATTCAATTGTTCACCTTAAATTAACTCATCAATTAAAAGTTAGTTAAAAGGTTAGTAATAATTTATGGGTTAATTGTTGGGTAAAGAAATTGAGGTAACAAAACAATTAAAAGAGATTAATCAAAGTTTAACATGAGAAAGAGCGAAGAGGAAATATTAATTGTTTGTAAGGTATTAGAATCATGGTAACAATTAAGAGATATTATCATGGACCAAGAATAGGAACTTAAATTGTTCAAATTAACTGAATATCATTTTCAAGAGTGTTAAGTGTTTGGCTCATTTGGAGTATAAGAGAAGCGTTAAAATGTAATTGGACTATTTGATTGTCGATTTAATTGTTTGGATTGTACTTACACACACGAAGTTTTCTGAACTGTTTGGGTGAAATAACCTTCATGGGGAATCTGAACAACGTATTTCCAGACACCTTGATAGTTTCGAGCGTAAACTGGGGCTACATATTCCTCGATGGATGGACAGGGTGTCGGCGGTACCTGAGACACGGTCATTGTCTCGGATGAAAGGATATCCTCGAAGTCCAATGGTTTTTTCCTTCGAGCGGGAAGTAGACTGGAAATCGCTGTTGGATTAACGTTCATCAAATATTCAACGATCGCTGATAAAGGTGAAAAGTTATTGGCTGATGAAGATAAAGTTGAGGTTGAAGGAGCAGAATTGGCGTTTAGTGAGGCCAAAAGTGATAATACTTGGGTGAACATGGATTTTGATACATCAGAGGTTCCGGATGAACCGGAGGATGATGAAGATGAACCTGAAGATGAAGAAGAGGTTAAAGCAGCTGATGAAGGTGTTGATGATCCACTGGATGAGGATAAACTTGAGCTGCTTCCACTTCCTGCTCCGCTAAACTGTTGAAACAATGAAGCCAAAGAGCTTAAACTTTGAGCTGTGCTTGCAGCATTGGAAGCAGCGGTCATCACTTGAGCCGCTGAACTTAAGGTGGACAGTAGTCCACTCGAACCTGTATTCCCACCGCCAAGGGTTGACATCACCTGACATAATCTAGATAGAGAGGAAATAAAATGAGATTAATTGTAAACCATAATTACAACAATTAAACAAAGACTTCGGATAATTAATGTTTTCATTCAATGACCTCACAAAATTGTGACAAATTTGCAAAAGCAATTAACTGCATTGGCTTAATTACTGCTCTTCTTTCATTAATTGTCAGGCAAGGAAATTAAGGAAACACTGACTGATTAATCATTTCAACGAGGATTTTGCTAATTGTTGGTAAAATGATCAGTTGATTTACTTACATTCCCTCGTTTTGTTCACACACTTTCTGTCTTGCCTCCGTGTAATTAAATCCATGGCCGCCGAATTTGGCTTCACGAATTAAATCCCACCGTAGATTAGTTAAATCGGCTAATGATCGTTTCTTAATCAAATGATTTCCAGAGTAATCAAATCCTCCATTGCCAACAGGCTTAGATGAATAATCATCTTCATTATTATTTTGATTGCTGTTAATTGCTCCTAATTTAGTATCCGATGGGATCTTGGCCACTTTTGGTATATTGTTAATGTCTTGTTTTAGAAACGGTAATGAACGAGCCAGAAAGTGTAGTGTTTTATTTTTAATTAATTCACTGTTGAGACAATTAAGAAACGAAAATCAATTAGAAACAAAATTCAATCAGATTGAGAAACTCAGACACACAATTAAAATTGATTCTGATCTTAATCTGCTTGACCCAAATAATGATAATGAATCAAAAGTAATTTGATTTAAATGAACTAAAATCAAGTTATTTGATTGGATTTACTTTTTCAGCTTTTTTTCATCTTCGTTATTTGATTGTTGATTAAATCAATTGATTAATCAAGTTACACTTGAAATCACTTTTAATCTTAATTTGAAATTGATTGATTGTTGGTGGTTATTTTTTGTTATTGTTGTTGTTTGTTTGTAATTAACTAAGAAAAGTTAACCTTGAAATTGATTGTTTGAATTGTTGAGTTGTTATTAGTTTGGAAAAACAAAATTAAGTTAATTTGGTGGATAAACAATCAACTAAATTAAGGAAATGATCCCAAAGCTATTTAGGTAAGTCAAACAATGGGTCAAGTTATTTGGGTTTACAATTAACTATTGTGACAAATGAACCATTAATTGTATCATCAAATCAGCTTGAAATAATCAACCAATAGGTTGTAAAATTAACCACAATTAACAACAATTAACTTACAATGGATAAGGTTGACCAGTAATTGATTGTAACATGGGATTCAATGGGACATAACCTTTATTTAAATCACCACAGAGAGTGTCCTTTGGTGATAAACGATAATCACTTTTAATTGCTCCTAAATTGTTATGAAAAAAAAAGAGATTAAAAATAAGACAATTAGTAAATCATCAAATCAAGATCGCTGTTAATCAACAAATCATCATCATACTCTTGATAACCTTTCAAATTGCACAGAGAAATAATCAACTGACAATCAAACTCACAACATGGTCAAGATGATTAACTAACCAGCAACTTACATGAAATGATGATTAGTAAATTGTTGCCAAAGTTAATTGTAAACAATTTACTTCCTTGGGAAACATTAAACTTAAACTCTCATTGTTATTAAACCTAAATTGTTGCTTGATTATTTCATTATCATATATTGTGTAGACCAATGATTAAATAGGTCCTAAGGTCACCCTCACAGGGTGATGATGATAACAATTTAAAATGATCATCATCTTAATCATGATAATCAACAATTTCTTTTGATGAAAAATATATAAAAAAAATCATCAGGATGCAACAATTGGAAAATAATATGATAAAAATGATGAGAATCATTTTCATTTAAATAATAATAATGATCATCTTGATGATAATAGATTTCAATAGGATGATGATTGTAATCTAATTGAATGGAGTCAAACTGTTAACCCAACAATCAACTAATAGAAAAATATATCAAACTCAAGCCAAGGAACTTTAATCACAACAATAATAACAATTTGATCCTTTCATTCAATTGTTTTGGTTACGGATTGGTGACACTTTGTGAGTGAAAAAAAAGACATCAACTTAATCATCTTCATCTTCATCTTAATCCTTCAATAGCAATTGAGTTACATTGTCTTGGTTGTGAATAAGTTACAATGAGAATTCAATTGATTAAATCCTTTGATGTTCACAATCAAGTTAATCAGCTTCATTTCCACTGAGTTAATCACAACAATTTACATTATTTACTTTAATCATTTCACTTTTTTTTTCTCATTGTCCATCAATATTATCATTCCCAACGTTGTGAAAACTTTTTCAAACTTCAATTGTTGATTTTGTTTGATTAATTTTTATTCTGATTGTAGTTAATTGTAGTAATAATAATAAGGTGTAGTTAAGGTCAATATGATTATATAATATCTTGATAATCTATTTTTGGTTTTCATCATTAACATGGTAATCAAGTTAATCTTGAAAACATAATCACAATCAACCGTTAGTTTATGTCAAAAATTGTTACCATTTTTTGATTATCAACAATTTAATGATGATGTTTAACCTAAATCTCATATGATTAACTTGATTCTTTAAATAGTAAATCAAATATGATGTTAACCATCATAACCATTTGAATATCAAGTCCTGGATAATTGATTGTTCATTGATTGAGAGAAAAATTAACTAATTTCCCAACTAAATTAATCATAACCAGCAAGTTGATTAATTTGATTGTTGTCAATTCAGTTGATCCATTTTTTTTTTGTGAGGAAACAAAAATTTATATCAATCAGGTTAATGTTGACTCTAAATCAATAATTAATTGATTACTGATTGGACACTAATTTAGTAATTGTAGTGATTTGTATTCAATTACGATTATGACTTTCGTTAATTGTTGAGGATTTTAATCAATCAGAAAATTGAGAAATCATGATTACGATGACCTCTTGATATCCTAACAGTTTCTTAATCATCACGAAATTCAAGGTGAAATTAGCAATTAATTGTTGTTTAAATTTACAGTTAAATTGTTAACCATTTATCGTGATGATTATTCAATGATCAATAATAACAATTTACTAACTAACAACAATATATAAATAATACAAAAAAAAATGAGTAAAAAAAATGGATTCAATTGATTGACGTTAACCAGAAGGATAAATTATCAATACAATTGAGTTAATTCAGTTGCAGTTAAATAAATTGTCATGATTCTGACACGATGAGAATGATGCTTTTTACCTGGCCAATTGTTGATCCATGAAGGTAATAGATTTAATTTAATTTAAACCTAACAATCAACTCAATTATCATGATATCTGTTTATATTTAATATCTATGTCATTCATGTTAACCAATATACCAAATTATAACGGTACTTTGTTGGTCATTATCTTAATCTCATCATGTTACCTTGACCTGTTGACCAGTGATTCTGACACTGAAATAACAGTAATCATAATAATAATCAAGGTAAATCTATTAAGAAGCGGAAGTTTCATGTTGATCAACAATTAAGAAGCATAAAAGTTAAATTAACTTCCGACTCAATGAATAAACTTTTTTTTTGTTGGAAAACAATGTTATCATTACAATTACAATTACAATCATCGTTATGATGATCATTAAATTTGATTACATTGAGAGTTTATCCTTTCACCCTTAACTGATTGTTGGCTGACAAAAAAAAAGTAATAATTTAGTAATGATTAAGGCCTAAGGGTTGATTAGATCATTCTCACTTGCCCTTAGGGTATGATAATTGGTTTCTTTGTCTTTGGTTAATTGTTTAACTTTTTTTCTTGACCTTGAGTTGATTATTATGCGGAAATGATAAACTTTTTGTTTTTCTTAAATGGTTACAATTAGTTAATTAGATGATAATTTGTACGTGGACACATCCTATTGTTTAATTGTCGCAGTTTAAAATTGCTTTCAACACAATTAACGGTTCAGTTGACAAAGAATCAAGTTAATCGTTGAAATAGAAAAGTTGAAAACAAATTGTTACAATTAACCATCGATTAATTGATTGATTGAATTAAAGAGAATTGAAATTTAATTATTTACCAGGACATGGGACATTTGCCGGTAGATAGGGTGGTTTAAGTACACGGGGTGGGACACCATGGGCTCGGGTCGCTTTCTCAAAGGCATAATAGCCCGGGGGCTGTTGCGAGTCTGTTAATGTTGATGGTGGTGAAGGTGGCGATGAATCCGATCCATGGACAATTAATAAAACAGTCAAATTAATAATAATCACAATAAAAGCCTACATAGAGAAAGAAATTAGATTAATCAACTAGAAGAGTAACAATTAAGGAGACACTTAATTCACAGGGATTTTAATTGATTCTCATTTTGATGTTACCTTAAGATTCATGTTGATATTAAAAGTGATGATTGTGTCATGACGAACAGAATAAGAAACAATTAAAAATCAATTTTAGAATAAGAACAAAAAAAACAATCACAATTAGTGACAGTTATCGATTAATTTAGAAATCATATCGGATCACAATTGCTGAGAACAATTAAATTAGATGTTGGGTTTACAATCAACGAACGATGAAGATGTTGAGTTACCTTGTTTACCCTTAAACTTGGAAAAGATTAAAGTTGGAACATGAAAATTTTACCTTTCGTCTTCATCTTCATCATCTTCATCCCTCCTCCTCCCTCTTCTTATCTTCATCATCATCTTTACGGTGTATAAACCAGTCCCTCTAGTCGTTTAGTCCCAGTTACGGCCTCAGCCCTAACGGAACCGGAATAATATCTTTCTCTTTCTCTCTCTCTCTCTCTCTCTTTCTATCTCATTCATTTTCTTACCATTTTTTGTATTCACTTGAATTTATAAGAACAGGAAGAAAATGATGAAGATGAAGATAAAGATGAAGATGAAGATGAAGATGAAGATGAAGATGATGAAATTGATGCGATTCTTGATTTTGTTTTTTCCTCTTCTTTTTCATTCAATCTTCTTGTTCTGTTACCTGTTCAATGTCACTGACCGTTGGTGACCTGCGAAAGTTTTTGGGTCTGGATGATTTTTTTTTCATCTCAGAAACAGAAATGAGCTAATATTTAATTACATAGATTGTTGATAATCATCATATTGATTATTCTTAGGTAACAATCAGTTAATCACTTGGAATTAATCATTAAGAATGAGAGTTAACTCTTCCGTTCAATTCATATAACCAGTTTTTTCCTTTGCGATGATAAAAAATTTGGAAACCAGATTAACTAATCAACTTTTAATTTCTCCTAATCATCATTAGTTTACTGATTGTTATTGACAATCAATTAATTAGTCGGTAAAAGTTTACTAAACTCATTGATTGTTTGGGGAAAATTTTATCTGATCATTTGAAGGTGACTTTTAATTTCTGATAAAAAAAAAAAGTTTTTCAATCAGATTCTAATTGTTGTTGATTTTAATTGCTCATGCTAATTACTTTCTCCTCTCTTAATTGAGATTAGATTTACAAATTTGTATTTACATACTTATCTAAATTAATCACTTTCTGTGTTGATTTAAATTGTCCAATTTGTTGCTGGTTATGTTCAATCAACCAAATTGTTGAAAATATATTCTCAAGTATTAATTGTAATTGTTGTTAAATTTATGTTATATTAATCAGTCAACCGATTTTAACTCAATCATTAGTTAGAAACAGTTGATTAACTTGGCAAAAATTTAACAATTTATTGAATAATTTAGTTTTTAACTTGAGAGGAAAAGGAAAAATATTCATCTCAACAATTTGTTAATCATTTTGATAATTTCTAAATTTAAATCTCTCCTCAGAATCAATAAACTCTCACAATTTAGGACAATTAACTGAAGAGAGAGCGAGCAAAAGTAAACTTGATTATCACTTTCAAGATAACCACAACTAATTAATCATCATCATCATCAGTTAATTGTGAATGTACAACAAGAAAACTCCAACTAATTAACAATCAAAAATGGTAATAGAAGAGAAGAAAAAATTTTCTCTTCCAACAATTTAAAAATCTATTGACACAATCAACTCAAAATTTAGAAGAAGAAAAAAAAAGAGGCTAATTAAGCTAATCAAATACTTAATGATTACAATTTTCTATTCCAACAATTTAATCGCAATTTTAATTTTCTAATTGTCAATTTAAATACGAATTTGGGTCCGTTTGAAAAAACCGCCATTCGATCGCTTGTTCCCTCTGAAAATAATCACATGTGAAGATGAATTTATATTCAGTTGGTTGATTGATTGTTAATTCATTTTTTTGCTTTCGTTTCTTCAATTGTAACCTCGATCTGTTTTCTTATTGTTTTTTGTTTAAATTAATTCTAATTGTATTGCCATTTACTCAAAATGATGCGAGTTAATGTAATGAAAACTATCGCTTCCCTGAGGCCATCAAGATTTGTCTCAAATTATGGGAAACTCAAGCTAGCCAAAGAACCGGCGGAGCAAATTCATGCGAGACATTTTTGGACTTATTGGTTAAATTTAGTTTCAAACAAGTAAGTTAATCAAACAATTATCATCTGATTGTTCACATTGACATTAGTTCTATTTGTTAAATTTCTTTTTTACTTCTTTTCTCTTGGTTAATCTGTATGTTTCTACCGATTTTTGCTTTAGGGTTTATCAAGAGCGTCTTGAAGAAGCTGGACCTGAACAAGCTTGTGCCGAATGGTTAATTAGAAATGGTTGCGAAATTAAATGGACTAGTAGGGATAAATTACAAACTGATTACAATGACATGCCAGATATGGATGAATCTACATGGATTCAAGGGATTAAAGCAGACAATTCATCGATCATGGATATTGGTTTTGAGCATTTAAGTAAGTTTGGAATATTATAAATGTTGTATGTGTTAACCTTGAGAGAAAATCTCTTTTTCTTTTATATAATCAATTACATAATCAGTGACATGATTAATTTGATTATATTTTCTCTTTCAATTGACAATAACGATTATTAATAATCATTTTCTTTTTATCCTATCCATGAGTTTGCAATATCCTATTCATTTTAAGTTTTATCTCTTAACCATTTTAGAAAAGAAAAAGAGAATTAATTTTATTCTATCAGACAGAAAATTCTACATTCGCTTCTTCTATATTTTGTTCTGATTTTCTTTCTCTCTTTCATTGATGATGATCTTTCGCTCTGCTAAATTAGCATAATCGAGGCACTTTATTAGTGATGGATTTTTAATTTTAATTTCTTTCTTTTTCTCTGCAGAATTTATTAAAGGCCCTGAGAAGATAATATTCCGCCGGTGTCATTACCTTTCTGATGACGCTTTAGAGAAATTAGATTGTATTGGACATTCGCTGCGTCATTTACAGTTAATTTCCTGTCACAATGTCACCGATGAAGGTGTTTGCTCTTTGACTCGATTAAGGTTAGTTAACCTTCACTTAATTGTTATTCTTTCAAAGATTCTAATTGTCATTTTAATTTCTTTTCTCTCTCTCTCTCTCTTTTCGCTTCTTTTATCCTAATTTTTTTCTATAGGAAATTAAAATTTATCAAACTGTTTGATTTATCGTCCGTCAAAGATATTGATAGCTGCCGTCAACACTTACAAGATGGTTTACCTGAGTGTGTAGTCGATTGGGTTAAATTGTGATCAATTTGCTTAATTATCAAAGAAAACAAAAAGGAGACAAAACTATCATTAAATTATGATCACAATCTTTTTAACTAATCATCTAAATTTCTCATCGATTGTTACTACTACATCACTGCCCTTTGTAATTAACCTCTGTAAACACTATGCGTTCAAATTATGGAAATTAATCATTAAATAATTACTACAATTAGTTAATTATTTTGAAAAAGACGCTCAATCGATTTTGGTTCAGACTCAATTGTCCCCATGATCCTCAAAGGAAACCAACGAAATCAACTGATTATCTCGGTCCAATCATGATTCCAAACTCGAGAAATTCTACCCATTGAATTAGTGAAATTGTTCCAATTCCATTCACTAATTTAATCAATTTAATTGTCAATTAGCTTTTCGAATTACCGAAAAAGTTCAAAAAATCGACGAGCGATGTCGCCACTTGTACTTTTCTCTTTAATTTTCTCTCAAATTTTAATTGTAACATTGAAAAGAAAGAAATTCATCATTTCCTTAATCACAATTAAGGAAACAGAGAATTTTTTTTCTAATTCTAATATCAATTTCACTTGAGACTGACCATTGGTCAATCAGATAATTTGGTTCATCTTTAACGCTTCTATCTTTAAATATAACGAAAGTGTTCAAATGAAAACAAATTTAGTCTGATTATCGTAACAATCAGTTTACCATTTCAACTACCGCCAAATTGTCTTTAAATTGTATTAGTTAATTGTTTGTTCTAAAATGATTAATCAAAATTATCATCAATTATTTTCAATTGTTCTATTAATATAAAGAAATATGTCAACAATTACACTTTTTGCTTGCCAATTTTGTCTCATCTTCAATGTAAGTATTTATATCTTTAAGCCTCCTCTTGATTGTTTACATTGACTCGTACTCAATTTGAATGACAAGCTCAATGTCACACAATTAACTCTTAATTATAATCTAAATTTTGTCTCCCATTATCATGACCAAGTGAGATTTACATGAGCCTATCACCACCACCAGCAGAACTCATTGTTTACTAAGCCAATTTGCCATCAAAACAAAACAATTTTATCTATAATAATGTGAACCAGAAAGTAAACGATCAACCCAATTAATTGGTTTGTTTTAATTGTCTATGAAATTGAATTGAACAGTAGCCTTGAAGATGAGAAAAAGACAAAAACAGACAGAGAATTAGAGAGAGAAAATGATAAATTGTAGTAACCGAATATTGGTAATTACAATGAGAGAGTTTATTGGCATTGGAATTAACAAAATTATTCTCCATGATGTTTACCTCACAAGATGATGGAAGAAGAGAAAGGAAGTAATCATCAAGGTTGTTCTCTCTCATTCTAATGTAATTCTCTCCCTAATCTTCTCACTTTTTCTTTCTCCCTCATCAGTGAATCTCTTGCACTGTTTTACCATTGACTCTTTTTCTCTCAATCGTAATTAACTTTTTTTCTATTGTAACAATTTATTTTCTTCTTTGTTTTTACAGCAACATCATCGTTTTTAAATTATTGTTTAAAGTGAAAGAAAATCAATTACCAACAATAAAGGGAAAAAGAGTTAATTGTTGATCGATTAACAATAATGATCCAAACAGGAGGAGACGATAAGGACGAAACCAATCAATCATTGACTCTAAATGATACTGACCCTGGTCGTCCACCAACACCACAATTAACTTCATCATCAATCCAATCACCTTCAACTCTTTCAATATCAACAGCTACTTCGGGTTCTGGTTCAGTTGAATCGCCCAATGGTGGTACGAGTGGTGGTATGGGCAGTGGTGGATTAAGTCCTGGTTTACAAGATCAACAAACACAGACCAAAGATTCCCGAACACCTAAACAAGGATTAGTTGAACAATTATCTCCCCAACAATTAGCACAATTACAATTAGCTAAACAACAGACCCAACAACAGAAACAAGCTGATGGACCTTCGAGGAAAATATCACAATCAAGTGGAGCTAAACCATTCCCAATAAGAGGTAATTTTCTGTGTGATATATATAATTTTTCTTGATTTACAATTAACTAATCATAAACCTCTCTCTCTTTAATTAAACAGGTGATCGTACAACAAGCTATGTGAATATACCACATATCATTGCGATGGTTGGTTTACCTGCTCGAGGTAAAACTTATATCGCTAAGAAATTAACCCGTTATCTTAATTGGATTGGAATTAAAACTCGAGTGTTCAATGTCGGTGAATATCGGCGACAGGCCACCGAAGCTTATAAGAATCACGATTTCTTTAGGCCAGATAATAAGGAAGCCATGATTATCCGAAAGTAAGAATTATCTTCAAACAATTAATCAGTTGATTGTTTTTCGTTACTTTGAAACTCATTAACTTGATATTCATTTGATTTTCATCTCTATTGTAACATTATATCGAAATCTTTGTTTTCGGCTAATTGTTAAATCAATAGTAATAACAAATTAATCTCTCTTACCATCATTATCAATCAATTAATCGTTAATTAATCTTGTTTGTTTTCTTGATTTACTTTTGAACAGTAAATGCGCTTTGGATGCTCTTGAAGATATGTGTAGCTGGTTAACCGAGGGCAACGGCGAAGTGGCCGTTTACGATGCCACTAATACGACCTATGCCCGACGTCAATTGATCTACGATTTCGTGGTTGAAAAATATGGATACAAATTGTTTTTCGTCGAATCAATTTGCGAAGATCCTGAGATCGTCGAGGCCAATATTCGGGTCAGTACCATTAATTAATTAGAGCAATTTGTTCAAGTACCATTTTCGCATCTTCCTTTGATCGTATATACTTATTATCTAAATTAATTGTCTTGTTTGATTAGGGGAAAATTACTCTTTAATTGATAATTAGCCACGAAACTTTAATTGAGAAATTTTTTTCCCATATCTTGATTGTTATACTTACTTTTGGTTAGCAACTATTGATTAATTGTGTTGTGTAAGACACAATTAAAGGTGATTTACTTTTGTTTATCATTTATGACGATCAAGAGGCTTGTCACTGATTATGATTGGTGATGACAATCATAGAGTTAATTGTTACAATCAATTATTTTCCATAAAGTAAATTGTTGTTTTCTCGTTAAATAATAATGATAATTATCTCTGTAATTATAAGAAAAATGAGTTAATTTTTTTGTTCTATCACAATTAATCATTAATCGTAAATCAATATTAGTCAAGGTAATTAATTGTTGACAATCTAACAGAGATTCACATTTATAAAACAGAGGAAAATGTCTGATTGATTAGAAACATTTTCTCCCAAGTTGTAATCATCACAATTGATTGTTTTGTCTACTCTTTGATATCAGATTTGATTTGAGTTGTAATTCACAATCATTTGTATTTTCACCTAATAGGAAGTCAAAGTTCACAGTCCAGATTATCGTAATATGGCTCAGGATAAAGCTTTACAGGATTTCCTGCAACGAATTGAACATTACAAAGACGCTTATCAAACATTGGAAGAGAATAAGGAAAAAAATTATTCGTTCATTAAAACTTTCAATGCTGGCGAAAAGGTTTTAGTCCATCGGCACGAGGGGCACATTCAATCTCGAGTTGTTTACTATTTGATGAACATTCATATTACTCCTCGATCGATTTACCTAACCCGTCATGGAGAAAGTGTTTACAATCTTCAAGGTCGAATCGGTGGAGATTCTGAACTCTCTGAGAGAGGTGGACAGTATGCGAAAGCACTTGCACAATACATTTCCGAGCAAAAGATTCCTCGACTTCGAGTTTGGACCTCACAATTACAGCGAACCATTCAAACCGCTGAAAGTATTTGTGCCCCACAGGAAAGGTGGAAAGCTCTCAATGAGATTGACGCTGGAATATGTGAAGAAATGACATATGAAGAGATCCAAGAAAAATATCCCGAAGAATTTGCTCTTCGTGATCAGGATAAATTTCATTACCGTTATCCCAAAGGCGAGGTTAGTAATTTGATCCTTTCCATGGACATTTAACAGGAACGTTTTTCTTTAACGAAAAATGTTCAATCACTTCTAGAAGTAGAAAAAAACTCCTCCCGAATTTGAACCTTGAGATCGACAAATCGAAAGACAATCCAATATCGATTACAAACACTAATTATCACATAATCAAATTACCTTCAAGTTTAATTAGGGATTATATTAATTTCTATTCTCTTTTCCATATCCATTCTTTATTATTGTGGTAATTTAGTCTTACGAAGATCTTGTTGCTCGACTGGAACCCGTTATTATGGAGCTCGAACGTCAGGAAAATGTTCTAGTGGTCGCTCATCAAGCTGTTCTTCGTTGTCTTTTGGCCTATTTCTTGGACAAAAGTTCAGGTAAGATAATCGAAAATCCTTTTAAATATAATCACCATGATGTGTTTCCAATCATAAAATTGATAATAAGAAGATAGAAAAATTGTCAAATCAATTAATCGCAGCAAAATAATTCAGATAATTAAGATTAGTATTACAAACAAAACTTAATCACTCAATAGTATCAGAATATTAATCAATAGTAAAGGATAACGGCAACAATTAAACACAATTGAGAAATTATTTTTAGGAAAAACAAAATGATAACAATAATGAACACACAAAATGAGTATCATAATGAAACATAGACTAGATTTAGATGATAATAAACAATTAGTTAATTGCGAAGGAAAAAAAAACTAGAATATACAAGAAAAGTATATAAGAAAAAAAAGTCAATCGAGTGGGAACATTTCTTTTGTTCATGTTGATCGTTATGAACGATTATCGTTGTTTTATTACAATTGAATTTGATTAACCATTTGATTGATTGTTGAAAATTGACACATTTCAATTACTTAATTGTAAAGAATCAAATCAGTCACAATTTACTTGATTGATCTCTTAGACTTTGTATTCCTCCTTCTCCCCTTCCTTAGCTATGATGCCAGTAATCAAAACTCCATTACATACCATCATCAAGTTGACACCAGTGGCTTATGGTTGCAACATTGAGGAAATAGTTGTTCCAATTGATGCAGTTGATGATCACAAGCTTCTATGATATGATGAAGAGATTAACAATTTAAAAAAACGAGAGAACTATCAATAATTAAGAAGACAATTAAAAAAAGAATAGAAAAAAGTTAGGAAACTTTGTCGTAGTTGTGTTGATAGTAAAGATATGGAGAGAAACTTTGGATTGATGATTAAACTTCAATCAACTAATCGTCCAGAAACAATTAACAACCAAAATACTCTTAAATTAATTAACTCTTAATTTGCAATAATTTTACTTAATCTCTATCTCTCTCTCTCTCTCTCGCTCTCTAACTCTTAATCTCTTTGCTCTAACTGACCATTTCTAATAATTGGTAACTACTATTAACTTATCAACCTAATTTAAAACTTTGACTCTAATTGCTACAATTCCAATGTGCAAATCCCCAAGGATTTATGGAAAATTAATTAACTATTACCTGTTGATTCCAATTAACTAATCACTAATTGTTAAATTTTCGTTACCTTTTCTCTCTCTACTTCCTTTTCCTGCCAAACTTAATAACCAACCATTACTTAGATTAATTAAATTAGAGATTATCGTAATTAATATTAGAAGAGAGATGAGAAAGAAATCAAATTAATTGTTACAATTACATTTCATGTATTTAATTGTTTATGTTAAATTGTTATGATAAATCAAGAAAACTAAATTAATCGTTAACTGTTACTGAAAATGTACAAATATATATTTCTAAATAGTTGATTATTTAAATTAATTTGATAATCAATACAAATAATGAGTGTGATAATTACCAATAATCAGTGAATTAGTAAAATAAGTATTATAATTAACAGAAAAAAAAATATAATAACAATTAAATTTAATACTCGATAAGAGCGAGAGAAAAGTGAAAAGAAAACAAAATTGATTATCAAATTAACTTTAAAATCAACTATCGATTATAATTGTTAATCAACTAATTCTAATAACAATTAATTGTTGTTAAAAATCGTATTATTTTCCTCCTCTAATTCAATTGATAATATTTTTCTTTCAACAATCAACCACATCCAAAACTCTTGTTACCGATTATACAACGAAAACTTTTGTTGATTAAAAACTAATTGTTATATTTAAATTGATGATGTTTCAAACTGACAATCAACTAATTGTACACACACACAAATAAATACCTGTTGGAATCAATTATCTTTACATTTTCTTTTTTTTCTTCTTCTCTTTATCTATTGTAGAGGATCTTCCTTACTTGAGAGTTCCGTTACACACAATTATTAAATTGACACCGATTGCCTATGGGTGCGAGGTGACCGAGTACAAGGTTCCCATTGAAGCGGTTAACACTCATCGGGAGAAACCCAAGGTGAGGAATCAAAGAAAAAGACGGAAAAAAAGGTCAAAATCAAAACTAGGATTTACGAAAATATTATCAGGATAAAGATGAGATTAAATATCAAGAGAAGATCGAAACTTATTATCGTTATTAAATCTAATATATAAGATCGAAAGACCAACTCAATTATTAGAAGGTATTATGAGTTAAACGGAGGAATAACGGGACTTTTAGAATGTTTATTTGTTTATTATCGATTTTTGATCTGCTTTAATTTGGGACTTTTCTCGAAATGAGTTTGGATTAGATTTTGGTTTTCGCTTCTCTTTTTTTTAATTGTTATTAGCTGATTGGTTTAGATGACGAATTTGTATTTTTCTTTTCCTTCTTCTATGTTGTGTGATTTATTATTTCTTCCCTTCGTCCAGGTCTTACCGAAAATATCGTTATCATCGTACCATCATAGGTCGTCTCTTGCCGATGTTCTGGCTTTGACATTGAGCCAAGAGAAAGCTGGACTTCGGCGACAATCCTCTTCTCCCCGGACTTCAGATTATTACAAATTCTGATTACAATCAATTTCTATGTGATGATAATCGATTAAAAGATCATAACATGATCTTCATTGGCTTCTATTCAGTACTTAACTTTTTATTCTGTATCACCGATTATCATCAACTTCATCTCTACTATAATACCAACATCATTTTAATTGTTTTGTTCTTTGTCCAATCATCCAACTGATTTAGCAGTTCTTCATCTTTAAACTGTCACAATTGTCAAAAAGTTGATGTAATCTCATCACAGCCATAACCTGACAGGCCACACGAATGAGAGCCGTTCGCCTTGATCGCCCAGTCACTTTACCTTTCAAATTGAGCTTTTCCTTTTCGCTTTACCTGATCAACATCGCGATTCAATTTTGTGTCATGAACTTTGTTCACCTTTCGCTATTCCAACAAATCGCTTCAATTTCATTTATTTAACATCTCTTAATCTCTCTCATGTCTCAAACAAAAATTCTAAGCCTTTGCCCTTTGTTAATCCATAAAATCTCAATAGTCTTAATCACTAATCCACCGAGAGAGAATCAAAACTCTCTCTCTCTCAATGTTTCTTGGAATCTCTTGATTGCTTTCCAATCTCAATTGTCTATCTAATCAACAATTAGTTTTCTTCTTACAATATAATCGAAAATCTCAAATTAATCTCATATTTCAAGCTTTCTAAATATTTTTCGCTTGATTCACAATAATCTCTCTGTTATCTGATACTTAATCTAATCCACTAATTAGCTTTAATCAATCAATCAGATCTCTTAATTATGATTATGTTGTTATGTTTTCTCATTCCATTTGATTTACACCTAATTCACTTTTAATATGCTTGCCAAGTGATCATTGAAATCGCTTTCGTGTTAACAATTAATCTTATCCAGTAACAATTGTCAATTGTAAATGTAAATCCAACAATTAACTCTATTTGCTTGGAGAATTTAAATTTCTTGATTAACTTATTCTTTCCCTCCCAATAGAATGTTAGTCGACTTAGAACTACCGCCGAGGCCTTGAAGACCGTTCCAGTGCATCCCTTGTGATTAATTGCGATCGTGATTAACTTTAATTGTAAAATAGTGAGAAATTGGTGGATCCAAATCAATGGATGTTGATTCAAATTAACCATCGTAATCAAATTTCTTGTTAGATTGTTTGTTTTTTTATCACATTTGATAGTATTAAATTTATTTTATAATCGTACAACTAAATTGTTGGTAATTGTTGTTATTTTTTGTTATTCTTCGGGTTAAATTGTTACGATAATATGATGGTAATAATTAAATTATCTTTTCTGATAACAATTAAGAAAAGATCTCAACTTTTAATTGATAATTAAAAGTTGACAGCAATTCAAAGTTTCAACAATTGGATTGATGATAATTGACAAAATCAATGTTTGTTTTTTATTTGTTATTATTTAAATTTTTCTGATTAAGTGAACAATTATTTCAACTAATTTTTAGTCTTCCTATTTTGATTATGATTAATTTGTTTGAATCTGTTAATCAATTAGTTTACAATCAATAAAAACACAGTGTTAATCCAATACAATGAATGAACTTTAAATTATATCGTAAAGTTTAACATTAACTTAATTTGATTTCTGAAATTTTACTAACTAATCTCATCCTTTGATTTAAAGTTTAATTTAATTGTTTCAGGTGATTCATGTTAATTGTTGTATTAATTGGATTTGCTTATTATCCACTCAAATGAGAATTAAATTATTGACTTTAATTTGCAATAGTTTAAAGTTAATCATACTTTGTATGAGCTAAAATATTATTATTTCAATCATCAGATCCTTTGATTTGATTTTACCAATTTAATTGCTTAATCAAATTGCTTACAATTTGTAGTGATATATTGATATCTTGATGATTTGGTTGTTGTTGTTTTTTTTTCATGTTAAACAATTAAAATTAACAATTGAAGCACACAATTGGTCTACTAGAGCAATTAATTAGCTCACCACACACATTTATATGCACAACAAGTTGAACACACAATTAAGTCCGTTGATTGTGTCCGTTGATTGTGATGTAATGATACATGATTATGATAGAGATGATGAGATGAAATAATGATCATGAATATGTTGATGTTGATGAGCATGAAACCAGAAGCAATTGATTGATTCCGTCCTTTAATCACTATCATCACTGTCTTTGTTTTCCTTATCCGTTTCTGGTACAGTAACGGGCTGAGATGTTAATTGGACCGAAGCAGCGATTTGATAATCAGTCTCATCCTCTTTTTCCTTGAAATTAATCATCAATTCTGTTCTGTATTCATGCTTGGCCACATAGCGAACGTATTTTTCCGGTGGATTCTCGTTTGTAACGGAAATTGACCGTATCACTGCATGAGAAACTGTCGTCGATGGCATTGTGAACTCAATATGAACATATTCGTAAAATTTATCGGGAATTTGATCAAATGAAGTCAAAGGTAGACGACAAACCATCGTTTGTTGTGTATATGCACCTACCAATCAAAATGAAACGTTAAAATAAATTGGAAGGTCACTTCGTCCTGATCGACGATGAAATCAGATAATTACCTTGACCTTCCTTCGGTAAACGTGGTATCCTCCAAACAAGGGAATGGAAAGAGTGCTCGTACTTTGCGACTCCAGCCGACGCTTCCAACATGGTCGATTCTGGAATATTAGATGTTGCTCCTAAAAAGCGTTCGATGCCCTGTTGATTGATTGGAAATGAGAAACAATTGTGAATAGAGAGAAAACTTTTCCAGTATTTGGAAATGTTACCTTAATTTTCCCTGGCCTACGAGCGGCCGATTTTACGGAACCATAGCGAAGATGTTTTTCTGTTCTGAAAAAATATATCCAACATTCGGGAATATGCATTCTAATAGCGATATCTTCGCATGGAATTTGTCCATATTTTCGACTTATACAACCTGGAACCAAGACTTCGCATCGTAGTTCAATCTTACCCTTTGTAACCGTCAAATTTGCAGTTACTTGAAGTGGAAGTTCCCGTTGTTTAGGTGGACGAACTCGGAATCGCATCAACTCGTAGAAACAAGCGTCCGGTGGGTGAACTTTTATTAATCTATCTTCCTTTTCAAATTCTTCCTTCATTACTGATGAATGAAATTCAACGGCTTCTAATCTGATCCACTCTTCGGTAACCACTGGTATAATATCGTGTCGACCTACAACCTCTTTCCCTTGACGAGTCATATCATTGACACCGATCTCTATGGTCGGCATACCATTGATAAAGGCTAACAGGAAAACGCGAACTCGAGCCAATTGTTTAGTTATCAGGCCAGTTTTAGTTGTCTCAACATAATATTCATCAACAACGGTTACCTGAATCTCTTCAGTTTTGTAGGTCAAAGCTCGATCTCGATGGATCACCATTCGGTAGAAAGCATCTTCAACTAAATTAGCGAAAACTTTAACATCATTATAAACCAATGAGCCCAATTTAATCAGCTGAGACACTTGAGGGGCATGTTCCAAGGGCATACCAAGTTTCGCCAGTCCACTTACCGAAGTTATCTGACCTTGCATCACTTTGGCTATTTGACCTTTACGAACACCAACGCGTTCTCGGTAAAAAATATATTGAACTTTCAATGTGAATATTTTACCATATTGGTCATACTGTTGGGAGGTCACTTCGGACAAAGAGTAACAGGGTTGAAGGGTAATTCTTGGAAAGGCTCATTGTCTCCCGGCTTATTGAATAGCTGAATAACCGAGTTCTCGGAGAGACGGACAAATACTTTCTTCCAATATCGATTACCCGTTAGCTTTTTCTTAGCCGGATGTCGAAGGTACATTTCCCATCCGTTTCCTTCGTATTTGGGTGGAAAGTCTTCTAATGGTTGAGAAGTATCATCATCGAATAAGGGTGTAGATGGACTTTCCATTGATTCTGTTCGGCCTTTACTTCCTGCTTCACCAAGAGCGGGCGGAGGCCAATCACTTGACTCCGACTCTTTCGTTTTTGATTCAGCATCTTTACCCTAAGAAGTAAATCAAACGGTTCGAATTAGAATTTAGAAAAAAAATTTTCTTCTTTTACTATTAATAAGTTTTCCTAAGAATCAATAATACTCACTGAAATATAATTGTCAAAGAACATTTCGAACTCATCGAACTCTTCTGGTTTTTTGGCCTGCCTTGGTTCAGCTGGATCTTTATCTTGATAAGCGATTGACTTGTTGGGTGTTTTCGGTGGTGGGGGTAACAATGGCATCGGACAATCGGCGGTCAATGTCTTATTTGAATCAGTGGTTTTAGCTTTTGATTTAATTACTACTCTGAAAGAGTCATTATCATCATCGTCATCAAATGAATCTTTGGATTCTTTTTTCGCTATCGATAATGAGCCGACATTTTGTTTAGCTGGTGTATTTTTCGGAGGTTGGATGGACCCGGAAGCGAATGGATCAAATGTATCGAAACCATCAACATCATCTGATTTAGTTGTATTATTGCTTGTGGCCTTTTTACTGGCCGGTGATGAGAAAGGATCAAATGAAGATGATGAAATTGATTCGATAATTTGTTCGTTCTGATTGGCACCAATAGCAGTCGAATCAAATTTAGCTTGAAATGCGTCAAACGCCACTGAATCGGTGTAAGGTAACGAATCTTGTACTGGTTCAACTAGAAACTCAGAATTTTCGAATTGGTCTCGTCCTGAATCGGTTGGATCATTATCGAATCCACTGGACACTGCAAGGCCAGAATCTGATCCACCGAAAACGTCGAAAGTGTTGTCTTGTGTGGGTGGACCAGTTCCACTTACGGGCTCAGCCAAAGCACCAGTTTCACTTGCAGTGGTGGTTACAAGAGCTTCGGTTGTTTGATCATCTTTAGTTGAAGAAACATGATCTTCTAATACCGATACTTGACCCGTTCGGCCAGTTATTTGTTCATTGCTTACTCCTGGACTTTCAACTGGTGGTTTATCAGTGAAACCATGATTAACTATACCTTCCGAATAACGGTTCTCAACAGTTCCTCTCGATTCTGGACTATCGTCATCATCGTCATCTTCATCATCTGGCTCATTCCCTGATTCACCTGCAAGTCCCGCTGCTCGAGAGGCTCCCGCTTTTGTTATCGATTCAACAAGATCCGCTGAAATGCCGATTATCTTGGGAGATGAAGGTGAATCTTTGTCGATCACTGTTGTGAATGGATCAAAGAAAGTTGCACCCGGTGGAAGATCAACATCATTTCTGACATCGGGCGATGTTTCTGAAGAGTCAGTGGTCAGTGCGATCGGTTCTCGAGGTAGGCTTAGATTACGGGTTATAACGGTCACTGGTAGAGGATCAAATCTTGGCGGTGGTTCGTCTTTGTCTTTAGATAGTAATTCCATTTGGAAGGCACTGGACTTCCTTTCCCTCCCGTACTCATCTTCTGAATGTGAAGGCTCCTCGTTATCGGAAACATCAGATAGATATTCCAATGGTAAACCTGGAGTTTGAAGATGACCATCGATTCCCTCGTTTTCATTTACTTGTTTACCTGAAAATTTAACTGATTAGACAAAATCGACAAAATGAACAAAATACCAGATTGATTGATTTCTTACCTTGTGCGGAAATTAAAACATCTCCTTCTGGTTCACTACTGGTCACTGATGTTAATTTCGGTGAATCGACAAACTCGTCGTGAATTGTTGCGAAAGGATCGAAAGGTTCAACGGCAGAAGAACCAAGATCCAAAGGTTTAACAGGGTCAACTAGATTTTGAAGATCATCTTGATCCAGAAAATCAGAGATTAAATTTTTAGGTCTATTATGTTGGTCATTCGGTACTGGAGGTGGTTCGCTAATTGCATTTACAAAGTCTTCGGTGAGGGCAGCGATCGCCGCTGCTTCCAGATTGGTTGAATATTCATCTTCTGGTGACGCTTCAAATGGATTTGTACTTCCTCGCCTTCGAGGAGTAGCTGCACCCGAGAAAGGGGTTGTGGCCCCTGAACCCATTGCAGGGGTGTAAAAATCATTATCGTTCAAGAAAGGGTTAGACATGATTGAGGCTATCGATACGTTTGAGCCGTAACGAGATGAGCGACCAAGCTTATTGCTTACGAAAAAATCAGGTTCAACAGGGTCAATTCCTGGTGATTTATTACCACTGTTGAAGAAACTTGATTCAGCTAACACTTTGGCACTAGTGAAATTATTATTACTGTTGACAATATTATTATCACTATGATTGGAATCAATTTTATCAACACAATCGTCTTCAGGTGGATTAGTGTCCAAAGGGTCAAGAGGTGATTGAATTGATAAAGAAGAAGATGTAACTATGTTTCGTTGAGATCCAATTGAGTTTGCTTGTTTAAATGAACTTAGGTCACTGGGTCGGGTTATAGTTGAATTTGTCTCTTTTTTCAATAATTTACTCAATAAATCACTGGTTGGTTCAATTTGGTTTGACACTTGACCAGTTGATATCGTCCCAATTTTTGAGGTAATAGATATGTCAACGAATGATGTATCGAAGGGGTCATCAAGGTAATCATTTTCATAGTCAAATAACACCGCTGAGGGTTGAACTGATTCACTGGGCTTGGGCTCTTCCCCGAACCCGAAATCATCCAACAGATCAACTGGTGGGTTAATTGGTTGTTGACTGATTTCGTTGCTACTGTTGACTATTGGATTTGATTGTTCACTGGAAATTGGCTCAGTTGGTGATGGAGATTTTATTTTATCCTTTTCGTTTATTTTTGTTGTACCTTCGTCCAATGCTACCCAATTTGCTGTCCCTTTAGCTACAACTCCGGTCACTTTTCCGGTCTCTTCGAAAAACTCGTCATCAACTGGTATATCATCTTCATCACTATATTCAGATTTTTTTGCGATCTCTTCTGCTGCTGAGGCTTTTTTCAGTTCATCTAGATTACTCTGAGTTCTGACCACGGCTTCTTCGACCTTCGCTGTCAATTGTTCAAAAAATTTCCACTCTTCTTTATCCTTGTCTACCTTGTGTTTAGAGGGAAGTCCACTTGGAGTTGCGTGGCTTGTGGTTGTTGTTGCGGTTGCGGTTGATCCAAGAGCGTTACTTTCACTAACTATTACTGAAAGATTATCACAGGTTAACAGATCTTTGGCCTGTTCTTCGAGTTTTGCAAGTTCTGATGGATGAGGTGGAACGGGTGGAATATAATCATCAAGATCATCATCATCGTTTGCGTGTTTTTTATGTTGTTTCAACTTTTTCCTAAGAAAGTTCATCTCCTAGGTGACCTTAAATTTGTAATCTTCATTTTCATAGTAGTAGATTAATGATCACAGATAAAGACACAAGAAAATAAGATTCACCAAGAACAAAACAGAATCAAATTTTACGATGAAATGATCACCAAATGGATATGCAAATGTCGAAGGAGAAAAACGAAAAGCGAATTATAATTTGATGGAAAAAAAAATCAATGAATGAATCCAAAAAAGTAAATACAATTTAATATTAAACCGATTGTTTATATTGAAAGAAATTGAGGATTAGGTTTAGATGAGGTCGAAAATTGACCAAAATGAAAACAAGTCAAGTTCCCAAAGGCGAATGTAAATAAGAATATAATGTATTTGCCCTGAGGGGAGTGAATATCATGATAGAAAATAACAACAAGCGAATAAATTGATTCATATATTGGGAGTTATCAGAGAAAAGCTTCGTTGAAATTGGAGTGAGAAAAAGGGACTAGAGGAAAAAAGATTTTCTAATTTATTTCATCTTCTTTTCTCCTCTCGAATTCTAATAATAACTGATAACCTTAACAATTTCGACGAATAATCTGATAAGTAATAAGACTGAGATGCATCGTTGAATAATGAGAGAGGAAGGAAAGAAAGAAAAGAAAGAAAATTGGAAAATAGTAACAAGGAAAAAGATTATCAGGTAAATATGAGTGAGTTTTACTTACCTTTATTGTGAATTTGGTTAAAGAGGCTAACATAGTTTGTCGATTTTACAATAAGTAAATAATTCTGATGGATATTTAATTCTAGAGGAATCGTTTGTGGTTAAGAGCGTGAGATTAGGTTCGAGGTAATGATCATTTAAGATGATAAACAGAAAGAAAATGAAAGAGGTAAGCGAATATCTTTCAATGTGTGTTTATGGGTTTTTGGGTCTATTCTTTCAGAGGAATTGACATTTCGAAAGAAAGAAAGAAAGAAAGAGAAAGAGAAAGAGAAAGAGTAAGACAGGGAGTGAAGGTTATCTCATATTTCTTTCTTATCGTGGATAGAATTGCATCAATTCCTTGGTGGAGTTGCTCAGTTTCTCTTTCGAAAATCAAAATATATAAATTCTCTTATGTTTCTTGTGTCTATTTTTCATGAAACTCTATTTCTCGAAGCCTGAGAAAGAGATTGCGTCTCACTAAAATCAATTGTGATCACAATTAATCTTTGGATTGGTTGAGAAAATCAATACTTGTATTTTCATTCTAACCACATGATGGAGACATTGTTCATAACTGAGCACTTATCATGTTTACAAATTTACTAATTTGACAGAAATTAATAATAATAACAATCAAGTTGTTGATTATCAGACCAAACTTAAAATTGATTTGACTCTTATTCCTGATATTTTATAAAAAGAAAACAAAAAAAATAAATTCATTTTTTGAATTGATATAAAGGAAACGTCGAGATGAAAATTCGAGGATATTATCAATTATGAGTTACAATTAAACATCCCAACCTGTTCATCAATAAATTATCCAGTGGTGTGTCCCTGTATGATAGGAATGATAAAGGATCACTGGTGGACCACAATTTATGATTAAATGAATACAAGACATTAAAATTAAACAATAATTACAAAGAGGATAACAATTTGTTCAGGTGGATTAAGTTAGGGTGATATTATTGTTTGAACAAGATATCGTTCAAAAAGATTAACAAAGTTACCACAATACGATTAAAACAAATAGTAATTAAAGTAAGTAGAGTTTGATAAAGGAGAAAAAACTTTGATTAAAAATGATTAAACATGTAAAGGATGATGACGATTCTCATTTTTTTTTCTCATGTAAATGAAGTGACAAAAAAGATCGTTGATCTCGAGATCTGTATGTATTTGATTAACGTTAATTGTGACGATTAATAGTTCCTTTGGTTGGATACTGATAATTTGTGTTTAAAGATGAAATTCATGGTGATAATGTTTTTCTTTAGGAAATTTATTCAATTTCTTCGAGACTAGCAGCATTGGTATCGATTAATTATAATATTGTCATTTCTTTCAATCCGAATCATCAGCTGATTCCTTTTCTGTTGCGAGTATATCTCGTTCGGGATATTGAAGCTCGAGGATATGTTCAACTGGATGAGGTTTACCGTCTTCACCAACTCGACAAGGTTGAATAGTACCAGTTCTAGATCGGTAAAAAAAAATGATTGAATAAAGATCAAATTAGCTGTTGAATAAACCGGCAAAAAAAGTCTCGAGTCTACAATCAAAAAATTTATATCTTGAAATCGTTGCATAGACAAGATTTCAGTGTCGCATGAATATTATGTTAGTTGATCATTAATCCTAATTTATACTAATGATTATCGCTTTGAGGTAGATTAATTGATTAAATTAACAAGATACCTCAAAAGTTTATCCATCATGTTGATGAGCTTAATGGCTTCAGCCTCTTTCTCGGCATCACTCATCCCCTCCATTGGATTTGTTTTTTTAGGTTCGTAACAACCAGTGACTGGGTTAATCCTAAATGGCAAAATGATTGATTAATTGGTGAATTTAATCATTTAATCATTTAATTCTTACTTTTCTTTGACTTTTAGATATTCTTCAGTATCACTATCTTCAGATTCACTTGAGTAGTTACCCTTTCCTCGACCTCCAAGCATTAATCCTCGTTTCGCTAAAAGTCCAGCAGCATTTCCGTATCCAGTGTATTTGACAAGCCTTTGGGCACTTTCTTTACATAATACAAACAGAAAATCGGCAGCCATTTCTTTAACACGGGTATCCGGGTTGGTCATTAATCGAACCAATTTATTGCGTGAAGTGTCACCTTCTTCTGGTCTGTTTTCGACATCTCGTAAAGGTGGAAGGATTTGATTTTTGAGATACTTTCGAATAATTCGATTAGTTCGAGCCATGCTACTCAGGCAGGTTAAGACTGGTGATAAGGATTCATAAAGTTCCTTAGATGGCTAATTAATTGAGAATAATGGATGAAAAAGAAAAGTTTCAATTTTTGTACTATCAAAACGGAACGGGTAAAATATCATATTAACCGTTTGTATAGAAAATTAAATGAAAGTGAAAACAATTCTCACCTTATCGAATCGTCTTTCAAGGAATTCCAATAGAACACTAATCGCTTCTACATTCATGTCTTCATATTCGTATCTTGGATTATCGATTCTACCAATTTCTTCGATTGGTACTAAAAGCTCTTCATAACAGTACGAAGGTATATTCGTTAGCATATTAACGATATGATTATGAAGCTCTTCCTTTTTCTCTTTGGTCTCTGCTTCGGTCAAGAGAAGATCATGGAGAATTCCAACAAGTCGCAGAAAATGTGCTTCTTCAACCTGAAAGAGAAAAGATTAACGCTAATGAATAAAACTCTTGAAAATCGATGAATTAGATTATTAGAAAATTACCTCATCAAGATGCCCTCGATCGTAGCTTAATGTAAGGTTGTAAAGAACTTTCAAAACTTCACAGCAAAGGTCAACCGATGAACTATCGAGGCTATGAGGACCTTTAGCGTCCTTTTTTTCGTTTAATTGGGTGGATGGGACAGTTTTTTCCGATTGTGATTTAGTTTCACCCGAAACTGTTTTTGATTTATCTTTGTTTCGTTTTCTTTGACTCTTTTTCGATGGTTTTTGTCCAGGTTCTTCCGCTTCTTTAAGAATCAAATCAACAGCTTCCATAAGGTAGATTAATCCATGATACTTTTCACGTATTTTGGGCCTCATTTCAGGGGAAAGAGCGGTTATTAAAAATAACGCTCTCATGTCATAGTATTTCACCTCAAACGGAAGTTGAGGATCTTTAAACATCTTCAATCTTAACATGATTCCATCAACAAACGAGTTATTGCAACAAATTCGTCTAATAATAAGATTGTTGAAAATGAGGTTACAAATGCTTTTTTGAGCTTCGATCACAATACGAGCATCAAAATGTTCACTATTATCGGTCATGAAAGCTTCTTCTTCACCGACCAAACGAGCAAAGTGAAGAATCGTCTCAACTCGGTCAATGGTGAACAGTTCATCGGGTCCATTTTTATCACGAGAAAGTATTCGTAAGGTGGTTAATAATGTGAGATAATGTTTCTCATGCTCTGGATCTCGAAGGTATCGAAAAATATTCTCAACAAGTTTCTTCTTCTTGGCCACAGGCTCTGAGACCGAAAAAACTTGAGCCCACTGAAAGAAAACGATAGAAAAGAAAATGAGAGAAAATGATTAAAATTGGAACATAAAGAGAAACGAAAGATGAAGAAAAAGAGGAGGAAGAAGAAGAAAATAAAAGGAGAAAAAGAGAAAATTATTGTTATTATTACAAGAAGATGAACCGAGTTGCTAATGGAATAGAATTTACCTGCGAATTGAAAGCATTCAGGGTCTCCATTAATTCGTCGGTGGAACTGCCGTAAAAAGAATCCAACACTCGATCCAAATTCATGATTGTGTAGAATAGAATCTCCAATCAAACTAAATTAGAATTAATTGGAAAACAATTCGAATTAAAAAGGTAAAATCTATGGAATGAAAGAGAGAAGAAAAAAAATAAGGTGTTTCCTTTTTCTTTCTCTGTTGATTTTAGTAATTCCATGGAAAGAAAGATGCGCGTCATTCGACTTTTAATCAACATTAGAGTTTCAGTTTAGAAATTGTAATTAAACAAATCGAATGATCAAGTTAATTATCAAATGTTAACTTGGAATCTTCGCCATGAATAATTTCCAATGTTTATGAAAACCAGAAAATTTATGTTCTCCATGTTTATCTCTATAAAAAAAACCTACACTTTCTTTCATCAAACCAAATCTTAAATAGAACAACAAACAAACCATTTGATTGATCTATTCGAAAAGAAAACAATTATTCTCTTTTCTAATGTACAATAAGATGTAAATCCAATGACCAGAAGATAAACAATTTAAGTAAAATAAAAAGAACAATTTAACTTGTCAATCAAATTCGAAAAAAGAACAAAAAGAGGAAACACTTTCATCTTTTTCTACTTTCAATGTCTTACTCCTTTTTTCTACTCAAATTCTTATTGTTATTCCTTTTGAATTTCAATCGAAGGTAAACATCCTATTCGATTAATTAATTGTAACAATTAACCATAAACATGTTTCCACTTAATTGATTATCATCTGTTCATTGGAATCACGATCAAGTCATTGATTAGTCAATAAAACCATGAGAGAATCAAAATAAGGACAATGATTGTTTCCAATAAACACTTACCTTTTGTTAACCAAATAATCAATTAAAGATTTACAGGTACAGTAGATAAAACAATGGTGACTGATTAAAGATGATTATCTCTGATTAACACTGGAGAAGATGTAAATTAAAACCAAATCAAATCAAGAGATTAGTTGATTTGATCAGTTGGAGAAAAAAAATTTGCTTCGACTTGAATGTTGAAAAGAAAACCAAAAGATGTCGCCACTGAGCTGAAAATGGAAAAAAATTCTAACCGGGAAAATTTAAAATCGAAATAAACATTTGGAAAAAGTTAATTACAATTGAAAGAGAATTAATTTCGAAATTTTTCTGGTAGAATTTAAGTTGACAATTAAAATCAATTAGTTATTAATCAGTTAACTGTTTAGAGAGAAGAATTAATCTGATTGGGAACAATTAAACACTCCAAAGTAAAAGAAAATTAAACAAATTAAATGATCAAATTTCTCACTGATTATTACAATTGATTTGATTGTTTTTCGACTGATGAGAGAAATAATTTAACTATTCAATGAAGATTTGACAGTTAATTAGAAACAATCAATTTGAAAGTTGAAGTTAAATCAACAAGATGATGGATTAAGAAAACAAAAACCTAATTCTTTAAGGTCAAGCCACAAATCGTAACTGATTTTACAACAATTTACTGATTACTGATATAAATTAACTACTCAATAACCTGTCATATCCACAATATATTAACTGTTGTTCATTTGAGATTAAATCAGTAATGAACATTTAACTGATTAAATGAGTTCTAATCAGTGATGATTGATTTCTCTGTGTTCATATTTATGTTTCTCTCTCAGATTATTATTATGATACATTCAATTATCTCAAATCAGAAATGATGATCAGAGTGATTGTTTCTATTTCCAGTTAATATCATGCTCAGAATTGATGATTATTAAAAAGATTCTTGAAATCGATAAAGTTTCATGTTTCAAAAAAAAAAGATTCAAAAGGTTGAGAGAGTAAAACTTGAAAGTGGAATAAAAATCAATGATAATCAGCTGATGGAAGAGGAAGAAGATGAAAAGAAAGAGAAATTCGAATCGTTTCTCAAATGATCTTAATGATTTATCGTCATCATCATGGTAACAACAACGAACAAGATTAATTCTATTCAGTTTCCAATTCCTGTTAACTTTTTCTTCTTCTTCTTCTTCTTGTCTGAAAGGAAAATAAAGAGAACGAATATGTTACAGGGTAACATGGAAAAAAGAAGAAGAAGAAGAAGAAGAAAAGTTCTAAACTTACATCATCTTCCAAGAATTCATCATCTTCTCATCATGTTAATGATGAGGAGAAAAAAATCTCTCAGAAGATAAAACTCTGATTCTTGTCTTAAAATATTCTATTTCTCAGTTATTCTGTCACTTTACATGGTCGTTTCCTCGGAAGACATGAGAACGAAAAAATTGTGACGACTGACAACTCGAATTGGTTTCATCTTCTTATGATGACGTTTTCGAAATAATTTCAACAAAAAAATGGAGAAAAATATGAAGAAAAAAAAATGAGAAAAACGATTAAAAAGTTCTGATGATGATTAAGATGATTACGATTATAACGATTTACCACCAACCCAGAATGACTTCAACAACGATTATAATGAAATGAAAGCGTCAAGACAATCAACAAAGTTAACGGATTAATCAACAGGATTAGCCAACAATCAAGAATAATCTTATCCTGGAAAATGGAGTCAAGCCCAAACACCATCAACAATTAACACTATTAGTTGATTGTTAAGCAACAAATCTGATTACCTAATAAGATTTAACTCTATTATCCAATATAATTCATGATCTGTAAGTTTGTTGTAACTTTTTCTAAATGTTGATCACTAATGATAAATATTTGATTGTTAACAATATTCTCAACAATTTAAATAGACAATTAACTAACCAACCCAAAAGAGTAATAAACAAAATCCAAGGACGGAAAAGGAATCATATTTTACTCTTAGTAGACATTAACTCTCACCACCTCCTCCCTCCTTCCTCCTTCCTATTTCCCACCCTCTTCGTGTCTCCACCTCGAAGAAAAACCCAAAGTGTATCTCCCATTGAGCTCAAAGGATCTTCATCTCATCCTCCCCACCCTCTCATCATCATCCCACCGATGAATCTCAATCCCTCTGGTTACATTTTCCCGGAACCATAATAATCATAATCCATAACAAATCAATAATTTAAACGCACAAATTGTGATATATCTTGATAACCTTGACGATTATCATCATTCTGGGAGTGTAACTTTATCCTCGTAACTATTATTTTACTTCATCATGAGACAATTTAACTCTAGATTCATGGTGATAACTCATGATAACAATCAACTTTTTCATGGTAATTTAATGATCATACTCAATGTAACCATTTGTCCACATCTAATGTCCACTCATTAAATTGAAATCCTTTTTTTTTATCATATATGAATCAACATTTCCCTGAACATTATATATTTAGATTCAGTTCGTAACTGAATCTATGTCACCACATTTAACGACAATCTGATGATGATTAGCTGATTGTTGATTGGCACTTGAAGGTTAATTAAAACTGCTTACCAATGGTAAATTGTATTCGAAGCTAAATTAATAAGAAATAAATACGCAAATCATTTCAATCATCATCTTCTCAATCAATACGAATCATCATGTCTTCCAATTGACACAATTTCTTTGTTTCTACTTAGCATCCTCATCTTCATCTCCATCAAGGACATGAGAGCAAAGGAAATCGTTAATATGGTTCAATCTACGAAAATATTATCGACTCTCCTTTTTGGCCCTTCCACATCTCGAAAAGTAGGTCACTTTCTGTAAAAGAACAACTTTTGGAATGTCAGTTTTTCTTCATCTTTTTCTTTTCCTTTTTCTCATCAATTCTATTTCCTTTTCTTGTTTTCGATTTCTTTCCATCCTCATCATTAAATTAATCTCATTCTTCATTTTCCATCTCATTGTAAATCTAAATTAATTTCACCTTTTTCTCCATTGACATTCCACCAATTTGTTTACCTTAATCAACACTCTCTTAATCATCATTAACCTGATTAATCTTTCAACAATTTACCTCTTAATTGTTCACAATCAATGATCAAACATTCAGTTAGTAAGAAAATTAACTTCTATTAATTATCTTTTTTGAGGCTTTTTTGTTTATCTTTTTCTTGAGGAGATAAATTAGTTAATTGTTTTGAGGAACAATTTAAAATGATTCCGAAGTCAATTAATTAGATGTATTTATATAAAAGTGAATCAAGTGTAAGTCACTTTAATCCATTAATCAAATGGAACAGATGATTTCCTTTAGTTTTTTTTGTTCTATTCGATTTTCGGACTTTCCATTAAATTCTATTGAGGCTAATCTCCATTTTCTATGTATCTTAAAAGCCTTTTTACCTTTTTCCTGTTCTAATATCTCAAGAGGATCGAAACACATCAGCATGATGATGATTAACCATAGCAACGGAATTTAGATTATCTTAATCAATATCGTGTTAAAACCTTCCAACAATCGAGAGCTGAAAATAGCGTCAAAGATGAAGGAAAAGAGATGAGGATAAATAGATGAAGGGAGATGGCTAAAGATGGAGATTGGAGATCAAGGAAGATGATAAAATGGAAGGAGAAGACAAATTCTCTTTATTTAACTCTCTCTCTCTCTCTCTCTCTCTCTCTCTTCGACGGACATGATGCCAATGATGAAGATTATGGTTTAGGTGGTGATCGTCTTTGGGTAGGGTCAAAGGTGGCGGTGGTTCCAATACAATGGGCTTCCTATTGGCTCCCTCTTGGTCATCTCCTTTTCTTTGTGGGGTCATCATCACGGGTTTTCCTCCTTTTCTCGTGGTTTATGATCCATAGTAAAAAAAGATGCTTATTTCGGAATATTGTGACTCACTTGATTTCTTTACAACAATTTATTCGTATCATCAGTTTACATCATCATCATCATCATCATTTAATCCGCTGCTGACCAATATCACTTGACCATTGAAAGTAACTGTTGTAACAAATCAATCTCCATACTAAATGACCATTTCATAACTGTAAATTTATGTTAATTTTATAAGAAATGATTCATGAAAAAAATTTTCTAATACATTAACAAAATATAATAATGTTAATCCGATTTGAAATAACATTTAATTTGATTAACTTTTAACCAGAAAACAACAATTTAGTTACTTGTCAAATTGAGATTAAGGTTTAACCATAAAAATTAAGGCTCATAATTTGACATTCATCATAATAGGAGATCTAATAATCATCACAATTAAATATAACAATTTAAATTAGATTAACGGATTGATTGAAATTCACTTTTTAACAATCAAATGATTTCATCTTAATTCATCCCTTTCTTTTGATCATTTCCCTTACAAATTGTTTTCACAATCAACAACAATCAACAACTGATCGTTAATTGTGATAATTGAGTTTTAATTTTTCTTTATATTTTATCTTTTGCCATGTTAATTGATTGATTAACCGGTGACAGGTAAATATCAACAAGTTTAAATTGTTACCTGATTGATTTGTAATCAACTTTGTTATATTTGCTACAAACAATTTGTTGGTTATATCAACAATTATTAACCTTAATTATTACCTTAATTTACTTAATTAATCAAAATCATTTCATTTAATCATCGACATCATCAATTTACTAGAATTCAAATTTTCCCCATTGAGTTAACACAGAGACTCATCATTATCACCCAACTTTTTGCTTAATCTTTTGATTAGAATAATCAAACTTATATCAGTTTGAAGAGCACCAAAAATATGACCGGTCAATATTCAGAAACAATTAGTTAATTGTATTCACTCAGAGTAATTAACTGAAAACTCAATGTTTTCAGTTAATTTTCAACATAAACAAGTAATTCGCACACACCAACCAAATGTTGACCAAGATGTCAAAGGTTATACTTATATATATATTTAGAGAGCTCATGAGATGAACAATTGAATGGTACATGTTACATTTTTCTATCGTCAAAATTGACCGAGTAATGACCGATAATGTTTGGTCCATTTCCATTTCCCATAATTAACGTTTTTCGCTTATTGTAGCTAATCAACATTTCCATGTAGACCAAACATTATAATTGGTTAAAGGTCATTAAGAAGAAGATAAAATTAAGCTCAATACTTACCCATAATCCTTTGGTCTCTCATACTGGCGCCTTAACCTTTAAACCTAAAACTTACCTTTTCCTTTGTTGATCCTCCGTATGCTCCTAAGCTCTAATCTCATCCATATGCTCATCCAAATTGATCATCTCCTTTGGCGCTTCAATGCTGTTCACTTTCCTTTGTTAATGAAGCAAAGACAAACTCAAACCAACGGTCACTTCAAATTGACCAATAAGGTTAATTTTTACCTTTTCTTTGTAAACGCCTTTCTCACTATTTAAACTCATTTCTTTATTAATAAATTAGTCCAGTTGATGATGTACAAGTAAATGTTTTACTTGATTTGACTCTCTATGTTTTCGTGTTTAATTTAAATCAAGTTTAAGTTGATCAATTGATCGACATATTTAGTTGATTTAATTTTGATTGTGATTAAGTTGGTGAAATCAACAGGTTATGGGCTCAGTCGCTTCTCTTAAATTGTGTTAATCTTTGCGACAAATTTTGTGCGTTTAATTTTTCTCTCTCTCATCATCTCATCAATTACCTTACCAACAATTAATTAATCAACAATTCAACAAAATCATCATGATGGATCATCAAGATATGATTACGATTAAATTATCAAGTGATAATTATTTACATTGGAAAACGTATATTCAGGCTGTTCTAGAGTCTAAAGGAGTTTGGGAAATAGCCAATGGCTCATCTTTGTCCACTTCCATTTACAGAGGAAGAAATTGAAACTGAATCAGCCGCATCAATCAACAGAAGAAATAAATCAATAAGTGATTGGAAAACAAGTGATGCTACAGCGCGAATGCTTCTCATGAATTCAATGGATAAGGAACATATTAGTTTGGTAATTAATTGTTCAACCTCCAGCGAAATATTCAACTACATTATCGACCACAGAGAAGAGAGGACAACAAATAACGAGTGGACAATTCGGCGTAAGTTGACTGACTTAAGATTTACCTCATCTCACACGGTTACAAGCTATTTTGCTGAATTAGAATCTGTAGTTAAACAAATGAGAGATTTAGGTTATAATGTTGATGACACTCAATTAATGATAAAAGTTCTTGATGACTTACCTCCTAGTTTTCGGTCGTTTCGTCAGATGCTTGAAATTTCCCTTATCTCTGGTATTAATATAAACTTGCGAAATTTGAAATCTCAATTATTAATAAATGAAAAGCAAGATGAGCGAGAGAAAAATAATAAACATGGTGATGCTTTAGTTTCGACTAATAATTTCAAAGAAAATCAAAGTAACAATGTGAGAAAATGTTACGGTTGTGGAAGTGCTGATCATTTGCTACCTCAATGTCCTCAGAATAGGAACAGAAATTTTCAGAGAAACAACAAGTTCAACTCTTATAATAAGAGATCATTCCACAAGAACAAAAGGTTCAACAATAATCGAAATAACAACAGAAATAACAACAATCGAGACAACAACAGTAACAACAACCAAGAAAACAACCGGAATAATAACAACAACAATCAGAATCAAAGTAATAGAAACAGATCGAATCAAAGTAATCGTAATCGTGATAATAATTCAAACAGATCAAACAATCAGAACAACAATAATAATAACAATAATAATAATGAAGAAAATTCTGATAATAATTATGTTTCTTTCACTGTCAATGAAAATGAATCAAGTTGTTCTCAATGGTTGTTAGATACTGGAGCAAGTTTTCACATGACAAGTAATATTGAGTATTTTACTCGTTTCCATGAATTAGATGAACCGATTTTATTAACTATCGGCGATGGTAAGAAAATACAAGCGATAGCTAAAGGTGACATTCTTGTTAGTTGTTTCAATGGAAACAATTGGATAAAATGTGAATTGACCAATGTTCTCTATGTACCTAAATTAGGAAACTTTAATTTGTTCTCTTGGGGTCAAACTGTCACCAAAGGTTTTGGATTAAGATCCACATCTAATTCAACTGAAATTTTCGATGTTAATTCAGGTAAAACTGTCATGATTGCTAATAGATTTTCAAATACTTTCAAATTAATGATAAAACAAAGAGACAATAAAGATTCATTTTCATTGGTATCGAAAGCGACACTTACCGATTGGCATAAGCGACTTGCTCACATTAACGTTTATAAGATTATTCAAATGTCTCGAGATGGTATTTTACCTAAAATAAAAATCGATTATGAACCAAGTAAATTTCACTGCGAGGGTTGTATTAAAGGTAAAATGTGTCGAAAAGTTTACAAGTCAGTAAAAGAGAGAGATGTTAAGACTGGAGAATCTATCCACTGTGACCTCCAGGGTCCAATGTCAGTTAGCTCATTGAACGGAAGTAAATATGCTCTTGTTATTAAAGATGAAAAAAGTTCTTTTCGCGCCATTTTCTTCCAGAAACAAAAATCAGAATCTTTTTCTAATCTCGATAAGTTCATTAGATACGCTGAAAAAACGACCGAAAACAAGATAAAGTTCATCAGAAGTGATAATGGGAAAGAATTTATTGACATTAGAGTTAAAACTTTACTAGAAAATAAAGATATTGTCCACGAATTAACTGCACCTTATTCACCACAACAAAATGGTAGAATCGAGAGAGAGAACAGAACAATTACTGAATTAGCCAGGTCTATGATGCTAAATAGCAAATTGCCGAAGTTCCTTTGGGCTGAGGCGATGAGTACCGCTGTGTATGTGTTAAACTTAATTCCGAATAAGAGTCAACAAAATGTTAGCCCTCTTGAACTGTTCACGAAGAAAAAACCGAATTATACTCACCTTAAGACCTTTGGCTGTGTTTGTTATACCAAAATTCCTGATCACATGAGAAAGAAATGGGATCCAAAAGGAAAGAAAGTTATTTTCCTTGGTTACACCAATACCATCAATAATTATCGCATTTATGATCCATCAACAGGTAAAGTGTCCGTGAGCACTGAAATAAAGTTCAATGAAGAAGATTGTGATGGATCCAAGGTGATTGAAGAAGCTTTTGATGAAGACGAAGTTGATCTTGAATTACTATGTGGAGAAAATAAAAAACAAGATGATGATGATGATAATTTTGATGACAACTCCAGTGACACAACGGAAATAATAGACGATCCACCTGAATCAATTGATGATAATAATTTAATTAATCAAATTGCCTGTCAAGCAGTTATCACTAATCAAGAGCCTTTAACATATGAAGAGGCAATTACTTCTGACGATAATATTAATTGGATCAATGCTATGAAAGATGAAATGAAATCAATTGATGAAAATGATACTTACACTTTAACTGAGTTGCCAAAGGTAAAAATGTATTTCCTGTCGTTGGGTTTTCGTATCAAGAGGAACACCGATGGTTCTATCGAAAGATATAAGGCCAGGTTGGTGGCCAAAGGCTTTTCTCAAAAGCCGGGAATTGATTATTTTGAAACTTTTTCCCCTGTTGCTCGTTATGATTCAATTAGAGCAATTTTATCCATTTGTGTTGCTCATCGAATGCACATTATGCAGTTCGACATCAAAACTGCTTTTCTTTATGGTGAACTTGATGAAGAAATTTATATGCAGCAACCACCAGGATTCGACGATGGTACCAATCGAGTTATGTTTCTAAAGAAGGGGCTCTATGGATTAAAACAGGCACCACGTCAATGGAATAAAAAAGTTAACCAGTTTTTCCAATCGATCAATTTTCAACAATCAGAAGCCGATAAGTGTATTTTCATGAATTTCCATGATGGATTAACTATTTGTGTGATATATGTAGATGATGGTTTGATTGTCAGCTCAAACCAACAACAATTATCATCTTTAATTGACAATTTAAAGAAAACGTTTCAAGTTAAAGTTCATTCCCCTCAAGTATTTGTAGGAATGGAAATTCATCAAAGTTACGATCGATCATCAATAACAATTAAACAATCATGTTTCATCAACGAGTTATTAAAAAGATTCAACATGAGTGAATGTAAATCAGTGGTAACACCAGGT